CAGTTTTCCCAGCAGTTTTTGTTGAAGAGGCTGCTATTTCTCCATCGTATATTTTTAGCTCCTTTGTCAAAGATAAGTTGGTTATAGTTGTGTGGCTTCATATCTGGTCCTCTATTCTGTTCCACTGGTCTTCATGTCTGTTTTTGTGCCAGTACCATGCTGTTTTTATTGTTATTGCTTTGTAATATAGTTTGAAGTCAGGTATTGTGATACCTCCTGCATTGTTCTTTTGACTGAGTATTGCCTTGGCTATTCGTGGCCTCTTGTGTTTCCATATAAATTTAACAGTAGATTTTTCAATCTCTTTAATGAATGTCATTGGAATTTTGATGGGAATTGCATTAAACATGTAGATTACTTTTGGGAGTATCGACATTTTTACTATGTTGATTCTACCAATCCATGAGCATGGGAGATCTCTCCACTTTCTATAGTCTTCCTCAATCTCTTTCTTCAGAAGTGTATAGTTTTCCTTGTAGAGGTCTTTCACATCTTTTGTTAGGTTTACACCTAGGTATTTGATTTTTTTGAGGCTATTGTAAATGGAATTGTTTTCATACATTCTTTTTCAGTTTGCTCATTGTTAGTGTATAGAAATGCTAATGATTTTTCTATGTTGATTTTATATCCTGCTACCTTGCTATAGCTATTGATGATGTCTAGAAGCTTCTGAGTAGAGTTTTTTGGGTCTTTAAGGTATAGGATCATGTCGTCTGCAAATAGGGATATTTTGACAGTTTCTTTACCTATTTGTATTCCTTTTATTCCTTCTTCTTGCCTAATTGCTCTGGCTAGGAATTCCAGTACTATGTTGAATAGGAGTGGAGATAGTGGGCATCCTTGTCTGGTTCCTGATTTTAGAGGGAATGGTTTCATTTTTCTCCGTTAAGTATAATGCTGGCTGTAGGTTTGTCATATATAGCTTTTATAATGTTGAGGAACTTTCCTTCTATTCCTAGTTTTCTTAGAGCTTTTATCATGAAATGATGTTGGATCTTATCAAAGGCTTTTTCTGCATCTATTGAGATGATCAAGTGGTTTTTGTCTTTGCTTCTGTTAATGTGGTTTATTACGTTTATTGATTTTCGTATGTTGAACCACCCCTGCATCCCTGGGATGAAGCCTACTTGGTCGTGGTGAATAATCTTTTTGATGTGTTGCTGAATTCGTTTGCCATTATTTTGTTGAGGATTTTTGCATCAATGTTCATTAAGGAGATTGGCCTATAGTTCTCCTTTTTGGAGGTGTCTTTGCCTGGTTTTGGGATAAGTGTAATACTGGCTTCATAAAATGTGTTTGGCAGTTTTCCTTCCCTTTCTATTTCATGGAACAGTTTAAGGAGGGTTGGTATCAGTTCTTCTTTAAAGGTCTGATAGAATTCAGCAGAGAATCCATCAGGTCCTGGACTTTTCTTTTTGGGGAGACTCTTGATTGCTGCTTCAATTTCATTTTGTGTTATAGGTCTATTCAGGTGATTAATTTCCTCTTGGTTCAGTTTTGGATGATCATATGTATCTAGAAATCTGTCCATTTCTTTAGATTTTCAAATTTATTTGAATATAGGTTCTCAAAGTAGTCTCTGATGATTTCCTGGACTTCCATGGTGTTTGTTGTTATCTCCCTTTTGCATTCCTGATTCTACTAATTTGGGTTTTTTCTCTCCTCATTTTAGTCAGGTTTGCCAGGGGTCTATCGATCTTGTTTATTTTTTCAAAGAACCAACTTTTTGTTTCATTAATTCTTTGTATGGTTTTTTTGGTTTCTATTTCGTTGATTTCAGCTCTTATTTTTATTATTTCTCTCCTTCTATTTGTTTTGGGATTTGCTTGTTCTTGTTTTTCTAGGAGTTTGAGATGTATCATTAGGTCATTGATTTGGGATCTTTCATCTTTTTAATATATGCACTCATGGCTATAAACTTTCCTCTCAGGACTGCCTTAGCTGTGTCCCATAGGTTCCGGTAGGTTGTGTTTTCATTTTCATTGACTTCCAGGAACTTTTTAATTTCCTCTTTTATTCATCGATGATCCATTCTTCATTAAGTAATGAGTTATTTAGTTTCCAGCTGTTTGCATGTTTTTTGTCTTTACTTTTGTTGTTGAGTTCTACTTTTACTGCATTGTGGTCAGATAGTATGCATGGTATTATTTCTATTTTCTTATATTTGCTGAGGCTTGCTTTGTGCCCTAGGATATGATCTATTTTGGAGAAGGTTCCATGGGCTGCTGAGAAGAATGTATATTGTGTAGAGTTGGATGAAATGTTCTGTAGACATCTACTAGGTCCACTTGATCTATTGCATATTTTAGATCTTGGATTTCTTTATTGATTTTTTGTTTGGATGACCTATCTATTGATGATAATGGGTGTTAAAGTCTCCCACAACCACTGTGTTGGCGTTTATATATGCTTTTAGGTCTTTCAGGGTATGTTTGATGAAATTGGGTGCATTGACATTGGGTGCGTACAGATTGATGATTATTATTTCCTTTTGGTCTATTTCCCCTTTTATTAGTATGGAATGTCCTTCTTTATCTCGTTTGATCAATGTAGGTTTGAAGTCTACTTTGTCAGAGATAAGTATTGCTACTCCTGCTTGTTTTCGGGGCCATTGGCTTGGTAAATCTTCTTCCAGCCTTTCATCCTAAGCATATGCTTATTTCTGTCGTGAGATGAGTCTCCTGTAAGCAACAAATTGTTGGATCTTCTTTTTTAATCCATTTTGTCAAACGGTGTCTTTTGATGGGTGAATTAAGTCCATTAACATTAAGTGTTAGTACTGATAGGTATGTGGTGATTCCTGCCATTTAGTTATCTTAGTTGTTTGAAGGTTTGATTGTGTGTACCTAAGTTGAGGTTACTCTCTACTGTCTTGCTTTTTCTTTCCTGTGGTTTGGTGCTGCCTGCCTTTTCATGGTTAAGTTGGGTGTCACTTTCTGTGTGCAGATCCCTTGCAGAATCTTTTGTAATGGTGGCTTTGTGGTCACATATTGTTTTAGTTTCTGCTTATCATGGAAGACTTTTATTGCTCCATCTATTTTGAATGATAGCTTTGCTGGGTAGAGTATCCTGGGGTTGAAGTTATTTTCATTCAGTGCCCGGAAGATCTCACCCCACGCTCTTCTTGCTTTTAATGTTTCTGTTGAGAAGTCTGCTGTGATTTTGATGGGTTTACCTTTGTATGTTACTTGTTTTTTCTCTTTTGCAGCCTTCAATATTCTTTCCTTAGTTTCTGAACTTGTTGTTTTAATGATGATATGTCGTGGAGTAGTTCTATTTTGATCTGGTCTGTTTGGTGTCCTGGAGGCCTCTTGCATTTGTATGGGAATATCTTTCTCTAGATTTGGGAAATTTTCCGTTATTATTTTGTTGAATATATTACGCATTCCCTTCGCTTGCACCTCTTCTCCTTCTTCGATGCTAGCCTGTGCTTTAAGTGAGGTAGTTAGAAAAGAGTTTAGGATTGATTTGTTTAAAAAAAAAAAAAAAAGTATAGGATTGACGAAGTGGCTCAAGTGGTAAGAGGGCCTGCCTAGTAAGCATGAGGCCCTGAATCAAACCTCAGCCCCACCAAAAAAAGAAAAAAGAAAAACAAAAGTCTGCAAGTGAAAAAAAATGAAGTTACTGCTAAGAAAAGCAAAAATAAGAAGGCAAGCCAGGCACCAGTGGCCCATACCTATAATCCTAGCTACTCAGGAGGCAGAGATCAGGAGGATCTTGGTTTGAAGCCAAGCCAGCACTGGGCAAATAGTTTGTAAGACTCTATCTTGAAAAAATCTATCACGAAAAAGGACTTGTGGAGTGGCTTGTGTGGGAAGAGCACCTGCCTAGCAAGTGTTCAAACCTCTGAGTTTAAACACCAGTGCCACCACAAAAAAAAAGAAAGAAAGCAAATAACAATGTGGTATGTAGTTAGCCTGGAGTAAGCAGTATAAATAATAGTGATGTAACCAAAAAGGTGATATCATGATATAAGAGTATATGTGTGTACTGTGTAGAGAAAAAGTGTGGGAATGGGGTTGAGTGTAGAAGGGCTGCATCTTTGCCATAAGTTAGTCTTTAGTTTCTAAATTGATGGGAACATACATCAAAAAGAAGATGGTAAGTGCTTTAAGTGTTGCTTCTGAGTAGTGAGACTAGTGGAGGATTTGTGAAAGGTTGGCGTAGGAGATTAAAATTTTTATTATAAGCCTTTTGTCCTATTTGATTTTTAAATCATGGACATGTATTATTTTAATTAAAATTACAAAAGCAAAAATACAGGCTGGGTGCCAATGGCTCATGCCTATAATCCTATCCATTTGGGAAGCTGAGATCAGAAGGATTGCAGTTTCAAGACCCTAATTCAGGTGGGGGACCTTGAGGGAAGGAAGCTGGGCATGGTGGCACATGCCTATTATTCCAATTGTAGTGGGAAATGTAAAATAACAGGATCACAGTCTAGGTTAACCTGTACAAAAAGCAAGACCCTGTCTCCAAAATAACCAGAGCAAAAGACACTGGAGTTATGGCTCAAGTAGTAGAGCATGAGCCTAGCAAGTGTGAAGCCCTGATTTTCAAACCCCAGTACCACCAAAAACCAAAAATCAAACAATCACATAGTATACATGTGTGTATATGCACCTGTTTGTTTGTGTTTTTTTGGTTGAGGGGGCTTTAGTGTACTGGTGATTGAACTCATGGCCTCACGCTTGCTAGGCAGGCACTCTGCCAGTTGAACCCCACCGCACCTGTGTATGCATGCATGTATTGTATGTATATGTATAAATACGTATGATTGAAGATAATCAAAAGATGTACTAAAGGTTCTGAAAAATAGTTTCCTTGAATGGGAAAGCATTTATTAATATGTATAGATTCTAATATAACTTATAAAATTGTGATTATTCTAATCACACTGAGTTTATACCAAGAAAATAGTTTCTGAACATCAGAAAATAATTCTGATTGTCCAGTTAACATTTATTTAATTATTTCAATGTTTTTGCCCTTTGCTGCAGTTGCGGGATGTGAGCTTGAATCTGTGGAATGTCTACAGCAAGATGGATCCTATGTCTCTGGAGAACTTGCTTTCAGAGGTAAGGAGTCAAACAGTATTTAACTTACAAATATTACAATCAGCTCAGTTATCCACTAATGATACTTAATTTGAAGAAAGGCAAAGTACATTTTAGTTTGCTTTACTCAAAGACTAGAGCAGTTTCTTCCTAGATTATTGTCTTGAACTCTTTGTGTAGAACGAAACCTGGAAAAGTGATACTACCTCTTCCACTCTGAGGAAACATCACCTGAGTTAAAAAACAAGGCTTTCCACCTGTTCAGGGTCTAAAGTTTCACCTGAAGACATTCTTTCTTGCCTATAATCCTAACTTTTTAGGAGGCAGAGATCAGGAGGATCACAGTTCCAAGCCAGCCCATGCAAATAGTTCTCAAGACCCTACCTCAAAAAACCCTTCACAAGGGGTTGGAGATTTAGCTCAGTGGAAGAGCGCTTGCCTGGCAAGTGTAAGGCCCTGAGTTCGGTCCCCAGCACCGGAAAAAAAAAAAAAAACCCTTCACAAAAAAGAGCTGGTGGAGTGGCTCAAGGTGTAGGCCCTGAGTTCAAGCCCCAGTACCACAAAACAAAAAAATACTTTCTGTGAGATCTGAGTAAAACAATGTAGAAGGTGTTTTTTGTAAGATGAAAAAATTAAAAGATGGAGTAGGGCTTAAAGGAATCGAGGATTCAAGTAGGGGAGAGAAACTTGTTCTGTAAAGGGCCGGTTAGTAATAGTTTTGGCTTGGCATGCCATGTGGTCTCTGTTGCAACTTCTCTGCAATGCCATTGTAGGACGCAGGGACCCAGCTAGACAATGTTTAAATGAATGGGTGTGTCTATGCCCCAGGGAAATTGTGTTTATAAAAATATGTGGCCCTGCCCATCAGCTGTAATTTGCCAACTCCTTGGACATTAATTGTTCATCTGAACTTTGAAAAAAATTTCAGAGTAGGGGGAGCGATTTGTAACAAGAAAGAAGATGTAGGAATAGGTACTATGACAAGCAGCTCAATAGTGTCTCCCAGTAGACATGGATGGATGGATGTGCATGGTCATGGGCTTGAGTGTCCAAAAATAAGTTGGGCTTTAAAAAAATTGGTAAGCTTTAACTGCTGAAACCTTTGTGATGTGCCACTAACTTTGTACTACCGTTTTAAAGTAGAGTAGAATAGATTGTGTTTACTGTCATTTTTCATAAGCAACAGTAATTTTTAAAAAAATCAGTGGGCACTGGTGGCTCACATCTGTAATCTTAAGTTCCTCAGAAGGCTGAGACCAGGAGGATCATGATTTGAGACCGGCCTGGGCTAATAGTTTGAGACTCTTATCTTGAAAATAATCAGAGCAAAATGGATTGGAGGTGTGGTTCAAGTGATAGAACACCTGCTTTGCAAGCACAAAGCCCTGAGTTTAAATCACAGTCCAACCAAAAAAATAAAAATAAAGGAAAATGAGAATACCTAAGACTGATACATTAGAAGAGTGCACAAAGAAAATTAGAAGCGTTCTCTCCCCCTCCATTCGCCTTTTTCTCTCCCATTCTTTCTTTTCCCCTTTAATCTCTACCTCTCTCTGTTTTCTAACACAAAGTCTTCCAGGATCATCTTGAATTTTTTCTGCCTCAGACTTGCAACCAGCCATTTCTCTAAGGAGCCTTCTTTGTTTTAATGAGGAATAATATTTAGACATCATGATCTGAGCACTAGATATGTTTCATACTACTATGGGGATATTGGTTCTAGGGCTTTTGAGTGGACAGAGTGAGGAAATACAGTAAAACAATAAGAAGGAAAGGAAAGGGTATAATCTCAAAAATTGGGACTGGGGTTGGGTACCGGTGGCTCCTGCCTGTAATCCTAGCTATTCAGGAGGTGGAGATCAGGAGGATTGTGGTTCAAAACCAGCCTGGGCAAATAGTTCAAGAGACCCTATCTCGAAAAAACCCTTCATAAAAGGCTGGTAGAGTGGCTCAAAGTGTAGGCCCTGAGTTCAAACCCCAGTACCACAAAAAAAAAAAAAAAAATTAGGACTGGGGGTGTAGCTCAAGTAGTAGAATGCTTGCCTTGCCAAGTGTGAGGCCCTGAGTTAAGTACTACCAAAAAAAAAGTAGTTTCCCTGGAATGGCAGAAAGTTTGAATCTATATATTAAGAAAGGTACACCATATCTTAAAGAAAATTGCCCCAGGATTATCAACACTGAGAACACTGAGACATACCCTGGTTAAATTATTAGACTTTCTACCTCCCAAACCAAACTAAAAACCCAACAATGAAATACTTTGGCAGCCAGGCACAGATAAAAAGGGAAAATTCCTTGAATTCCTCTACTATAGGAAAAAAAAAAGTAAAGCAACGCTTATAATATTCTCAAGAAAAAAAATACATCTATAAATGTATTTAGCAGCTGGTTGCCTGTTGCTCATGCTTGTAATCCTAGCTACTCAGGAGGCAGAGATCGGAAGGACTGGGATTTGAAACCAGCCCAGGGCAAATAGTCGGGGCTGGTAGAGTGGCTCAAGTGGTAAAGCACCTGCCTCGCAAGTGTGAGGTCCTGAGTTCAAACCCCAGTATTGCCTCCCCCCCAAAAAAAAAAAACTAGAACCCAGGGCAAATAGTCCTCGAGATCCTATCTCAAAAAAACCCATCACAAAAAAGGGGTGGTGGAGTGGCTGAAGGGGTAAGAGCACCTGCCCAGTGTTGTGGGAAAAAAAAATTTATTAAGCAGTAAAAGATAATAAAATTGGATGGTTAAAGAAAAAGAAGGGTAGGAAAAAGAAATAGATTAATGTAAAGAGATAGGAAGAAGCCAATCCAAAGTGTTCACACTACTCTGGAACTCAACATTCACATACTTTTTTTTTCCCCGCTTTGGTGCTTGGGTTTGAACTCAGGGCCTACACCTTGAGCCACTCCACCAGTCCTTTTTTGTGATGGGTTTCTTTGAGATAGGGTCTCACAAACTATTTGCCTGGGCTCGCTTTGAACCTCAAGCCTCTGATCTCTGCCCCCAAGTAGCTAGGATTACAGGCGTGAGCCACCGGTGCCCAGCCATAACAATTCTTATATCAGAGGTGTTGGGGGTATTCCCCCCCGACCCCACTGCACAGTTCTCTAGCTGACACCAGTTGGATGTCTTATAATTCAACTAAATTCTGACATTGTCTGCCTGAGAACAATGAAATAGGTAAACCACTACCTTATTAGTTGTAGATATGTGTGTGTGTGTGTGTGTATGTGTATACATATATATATATTTTTTTTTTAACTCTTTCCTCACGTTCATGCCCTTGCTGTAGTTGGCAGTATGTAGATATTCTTTCCTGTGTACTGCTGTTGGCTTTGGTTATGTGTCCTTGCTTTGACCAGTGAAATTTGAATGGTCATATACTTGTGGGGTTTTTTGGTCTTTTTTTTTTTTTTTTTTGGTGATACGGGGTTTGAACTCAGGGCTTCACGCTAGCAAAGCAGGCACTCTGTACTGCTTGAGTCACCCTTCCAGTTCATTTTGAGAGGGGGTCTTATGAACTATTTGTCTGAATTGCCCTTCTACCACGATTCTCCTGATCTCAGGCCTTCCCAGTAGCTAGGATTAGAAATAATAAAGTAAGATGGTAACTCTGTCTATAAGTACTCAGGATGACTTCTCAGAGGAGTAAGAGCTGCAGTAGTAGTGGGAACATAAAAGATAAAGGAATAACTCTTCCTGGGAATGCTCAGAATTTCTTCACAGAGGACTTGTGTTTAGTGCTTAGGGATTTTCCAGATAGAGGAGGAACATCTAGGCACAGGGAAGGAACCTATCTGAAAATTGCAGAATCATCATATTTTGAACATTGAGAGAAGGAACTCAAATATAGCTGCCTTGCAGTTGCCTCTTCCTTAAAGCTAATCCTTGCCTAGCTCAAGGACAGTGCCATGAATGTAACTTAGAGCCACCCAAGAACTGCCTCTGCTGGATCTCAGCCTAGGGCCTAGTTCTGTCTGAACTTTGGTTAGAGGCAAAAGCACACTGGCATGGTCCTTTGGTTTTCAAACCTTTGCTGCTTATCTATCTTGAGGCTTCTCCTTGAAGAATCTGAGCAGATAGACTTTCTGTGCAACAGACCATTCCACCTATCTACAGAGAATCCATTTCCACAAATGCAGGTTTTGTGCTAGGAAAAAGTTGGAGAATAGTGTGTCTGGTGGAAAGCATACAAGCTCTAGGTATCGCTTCTCTAGATACATTTCCACTTTTGTTTTTTATTAGTGTGGCAGTCTCAGGCAGGTCACTTTACTGCTCTGTGCCTCTGGTCCATAAATGGGCATGGAGAAGTACATGAGGATGTTAGGGAGATTGAGAAGGACAATAAATAAGTCTGGGTATGGTGGCTTATGCTTGTAATCCCAGCTATTTGGGAGGTGGAGATTGGATTTCATATATACTGTTAGCTGTTTTTATTTATTTATTTTTTTATGAGACGAGTTTGAACTCAGGACTTCATGTTTGCAAAGCAGGTGCTCTACTGTTCCAGCCATACCTCCAGTCCATTTTTCTCTGGTTATTTTGGAGATTAGGTTTCTCTATTTGCCTGGGCTTGAACCTTGCTAGCCACTGCTTGAACTGCAATCCTCCCAATCTCAGCCTCCCAAGTAGCTAGGACTATAGGCTTGAGCCACCAGGTTCCTGGCTCTGCTAGTTATTTTTATTATGAGAATTCATGGCATCTTCTATTTCACTCATATCATGGAGCTGAAAGCAGTATTTAATAATACTACCTTATTCTATAGTTACTGTTGATGCATCTACCTCCTTCAGAGATATTTTTGGGAAGCAAAGTGCTCATCTTCTTCAGTATAACTCCCAAACACACTGTTTTTTTACCTAGAAGATAGCTAGAGAGACTGCTATTCAGCTGTTAACTCTGCTTCGTGCCATAGGTAGGCCATTAAAAGGGAAATGTACTTCTCAGTCTGTTTCTAAATACAACTGAAAAATGAAATAGTTCATTCTGTATTAATAACTATATTGGTTCCTTTTGTGTTTTTAAGTCTTACAAAGTAAAGTATTTTGGTGTAGCTGAAAGGATTGTTCAGAGCCAAGTAGGCAAAGCAAAGACACACACTGAGGTGTAGGGAGCCTCAGGCCTGGCTTCCCTGAGGCCAGTGATGTCAGAAAGTCAAGGAGGAAGGTCAGATGTTCTCATAGCCTATCTCAGGATGGCCTACAGTAGAGACAGAGAAATTGACAAGTATTGAGGATGTATAGTATGTAAATCATGGTAATCACATCATACAAATCATTTTATTTAATTACGATGATATCTCTAAAAGGTAGAGAGTAGTCACCCCATTTATACATACAAGGTATTTTAGACTCAGAAAAGTTAAGTTCCTTGCCCACGACAGTAAAAGGCAGAGCAGAGGTTCTAGCACAACTCTTCCTGAACTAAAACATACTTTCAGTGCTAGGATTTGGTGGCAGCCAGATTGAGAGGGGGAGTGAATCTGGGACCAGAGAAGTCAGGAGACATTGAAGGTCTGTGGTTAAAGTGTCGGCGGGAAAGACTAGGGAGTATGCTTTTCTTCAGCATCCAGGAGAACATGTGGGAGTTAACCATTGGAACACTGTTCTGGACCTAGGATCAGTGGCAACAGCTGGGCCTGTTAGCAGTGGGTCAGGAACCCAAACCCTTAAGGACTGGTTTATTGGGCCAAGACAGAAAGGTAGTGTGGCAAGGAGTCTGACCCAGGTAGCTACACATTACCAGTTATAAGTATGATGCATACTTTTATATATAAAATAGTTAGTAAAGCTAGGATGAGTGAACATTTCCCAAAATGTTAAAAATGATTTTTATTCTTTATTTTCTGGGTTTTCTATAATGAACAAATGTTACTTACACATTTATTTTTAAATATTTTATTATTAAAAAGATACAAATACAGATAAAATAATAAAATGAATGTACAGACTAGTAAATCACTATAAAGCAAAGCAACAGCACCTTGCTAGCCACTCCAGAAGCAATGTGAGTGCTTTCTGCCAAGCCCCTGACACTCTTCCTCCCTGCCTTGAGTGTACACTATCATGAACTCATTGGTATCACCTTCTTACTTTTCCATGCAGTTTTGTCATCTCTATGCCTCCATAAACACTTAGCTTAGCATTGCTTGCCTATAGCATGTGTGCATGTGTTCATGGAATGTATTAGGTTTCTTTTAATCTACAAGTTTTCCTTTTATCACTTTGTTCCTCCCACCTCTTTGCTATGTATTTGTTGAAGAAAACACATCATTTGTCTTCTAGTTGCCTTCACTTGGGATTTTGTTGGTTTCATTCCCATAAAGTAGTTTAAAATTTTTTCCTGTCTTTTGTATTTCCTGATTATTAGTAATTGAATCTAGAGGCTTAATCAGTTTTACAATTGAGTTTTAGAGGAAATACTACCTCCTGGTGGATGTTGCATTATTTATCAAAAAGTATATAATGTTGATTTACTTTTTTTTTTGTGAACAACCATTGCTATGCAGGCCATAGATCCTTAATTCATCGTGGCATAATGGTGATATTTCAACTCTGTAATTCCTTCTCCATTTATATTACTTCTCTGAAGAGAAATAGTCAGCTTGCTATTTACTTATGTAGGGGTAAAGTTCATGTAGGAGAAGCAGGGCATTTTCAAAATAAAGCTGTTTTTTAACCGTTTGCCAAAAATAACTAATTAGGTTTAATATATACAGGTTTAAACATTTTATATGTTTATATCCATTGTAGATACTCAAATTATTCCAGCTCTGGATCGTGAACTCCCTTCAAAGTAGTTCACATCCTTTTAGTACAACACAAACAATCCCTGATAACTTTCCTGCCAACTACTATGATGAGATGTTCCAGGCACATTTCTTGTACATTTCCTGTCCTAAACCTGGAGTTAGTCTTTTCTCTGATACTATTCTTTGGAGAATAGTATTCCAGAACCACAGTCTGGGAGCTAGGAATGTTCATTGCTACTGGTTTGGTCATTGTTTCTAGATCTCTTCAATGGATGAAACTAGGGATTTTCTCTGCCTCGCTCTGCTGTGTATGTGTGTATATACAGTCAAATGGGCATACATTCTGAAAAATAATGTCATTAGGCACTTTTGTCATTATACAAACATTATAGAGTGTACTTTCACAAACCTAGATGTTATAGTCTATTATACACTTAGGCTATATGGTATATACAATTATGTATGCTGTCTGTCATTACTCAAAACATCTAACCAGGCATGGAGACTCATGACTATAATCTCAGCACTTGGGAGGCTAAGGTGGGAGGATCATGAGCTTGAAGTCAAGCTGAGCTACATAGTAAGCTTGAGGCCAGCCTGGGGCTAATAGCAAGACCTTGTGTCCAAAATAATCTTTATATGGTCCATTAGTGTGCATACAGACATATATATGGATATATGTCCATATATATATATATATATTACATCCATATATATGTACGTATATCCATATATATACATATATCTGACTTGGGTTTTTTGAGCAGTTGGGGTGGGTGTTATTTTGAGACAGTGTCTTGCTATGAGCCCAGACTGACCTGGAATTTGCTATATACCAGGCTGGAGTCCAACTTGGGATCCTCCTGCCTCAGCCTCCTGAGTGGTAGGATTACAGGTGTGTATTACCACATCCAGCTTACCTGACTTGTTTTATCCCACATTATTGAGAAAACATTCAGAAAATGTCGTCACCATTACCTACATTACTAAAAAGAATTTTATTATATACACGTGTGCTTATACATGTGGACATTTTTGCACACACACATATCCGTGTATGGTTAGGTAGGTAGGAGTCTGGACAGCAAGTAGAGAAGCCATTAGTGAGAATATTGTTTACATTAAGTATTCCCAGCAGAGGTCCGTAATGCTTCATGCAGAAGTAGAGTGTGCATGGCTAGCACAGAGCCCACAGCTTTGGCGACTTATATATCCCCCCACTGGAACAGAAGAGTGGAGTAGAGCACCGATCTAGAACACAAGTTTTGGTGCAGCAAACAGAATGGCTTTTGTGAGCAGGGCTTAAGATTGGATCCCTAGCATGCATACCCTTACCTAGTGTGAGATGGACAATAAAAGCAATCATTGGATTTGAGTGCAAATTATCAGCAACTTCAAAATAAGGACAAAGATGTTACTTAAGCAAGTCATAGCTGGTGTGCTTTTATTAACTGATGATGCTTTAAAAGCCAGTAGTAAAATGCAGTGTGTGGTGGTTGGGAAGAATGAGTTCAGAGAGGAGACTGAAAAGTAGCTAAAATGAGGAAGGTAGCTGAAGCTGCATGAAAGGAGAGACAACTGGGAAGGATACAGAGTTCCTCAGTAGTCACATGAGCACTAGGAAGAGGTTGTGAGGGAGGAGAGAGCTCTGTGCCGTCCCTGACCCCATCGAACTTCTAACTAAGGTCAGCTAATTTGTTCTTAAAGCTTCATAATATGACTTATTTGGCACTAGATAGACACAGTACCATCTTTTAGCTGCTTCATAAATAAGTTCTTCCCTGCTACAAGGGTTGATAAAGTAAGATACTTAGGTGGCATTACTTTTTATAAGGTTTTGGGGATACAATTCATGTACTATAAAGCTCATCCATTTTTCGTAAATTTAAAGAGTTTTGCAACCATGATTAGAACATTTTCATCAGCCAGAAAATTAACTTTATACCTGCTTGGAGTCAATCTCCATCCCTACTCCCAGCTTCAGGCTACCACTCCATTTGCCTTTTCTAGATATTTCATATAAATGGGTCATATGTCTTGTGGTCTTTTATATCTGGCTTCTTTCACTTGGCATGTTTTTAAGATTTTGTCCATGGGGTAGCATGTATCAATAGTATGCTGCTGCCTTTTAATTAAATATATGTGTATATATATATATATAGTCTGGTATTTTGAGATCAGTTGCAGTTTCATGATTTTGGTTTCCTAAGGTACCTCCTTTCTATAACATTCTTTCTTTCATTTTTTTCCTAGGATTTGGTAGCTTTTGAACATCAGTGGACTAGCTTCTTCGCTAATTTTGACACAGAAATTCCTTTTCTGCTGGAACTTTCAGAATCTCAGGCGGGTGAGGTATGTAAGGGACAAGCCAAAGAGAAAGAAGAAATTGGTTAATTATTGTTTTGGTTTTTTTTGGCAGTATGGGGTTTGAACTCAGGGCTTCATGCTTGCTAGACAGGTGCTCTGCCACTTGAGCCATTCTACCAGCCCTGTTTTGTGTTGGGTATTTTCAAGATAGGATTCTCAAACTATTTGCCTAGGCTGGCTTCGAACTGTGATCTTCCTCATCTCTGCCTCCTGAATAGCTGGGATTACAGGTGTGAGCCACTGGTGCCTGGCAAAAATAATTTTTAAATAGAAGGAAAAAACATCCCTGCAAAATTAGCAGTTTAGATCACAGATAATGGTTAATCCTGTTTTCTTCCAGTAGTTAAAAACTATAAATTTGAATTTTTTTCTTTTCCATTTGCAGCTTTTTTTGCTACCTGTCCACAAAATTCATGCTATCTACCATATATACCCTTCCATCTCTGTCCCTCACTGTTACATACAAACGTGTATGTGTATGCACACACACATACATACATGTATGATGGATTTTGTGATTATTTTACAAAATTGTGGTGTTATATACAATGTTGGTTTCTTTTTAGCCATTCAGAAGTTACTTCAGTCATGGAAAGATCTCCAGCCATATAACTGAAAATAGGTAAGGTTCCCAGGGAAGAACGGTGACTGATGGGGAGTGCAATAGAAACGTGGCAGATATGGGGAGCATCCAAGTTCAAAAGCTTGAGTCAAGAGAGTATAGGTTGACTGTTGTCATCACAGGTCAAGAAATCCATACTCTTTAAATTCATTTGTTTCACTGCTTTTGTATTTGTTTTGTTTTTCTGTAATTTTATAGGAAATTAACTTTTAAAACATTACAACCTGCTGAAATCTAAACAAAGGAATTTTTATTCCATCCCTAGCTATGGGAAACAAGAGGAAACAGTGGCCAAGGCTGAGCAGGGGAACAGTAGTGGCTTGTGGGGAATAGGAGGGATCAGGCTGAGGGTCCATTCCATGAAGATGGGAGAGTTCCAGAATGCTTCCTTCAGCATTTTTGTCAGGTCAGCAGGAGGTGCTTAACTATGAAGGACAGAGAAAATAGAGTTTTCCTCTTTTTTTTCCCCCCAGTTCCAGTCTAATCTAATAGCGAGATAAACTAACCTTGTGAAAGTCACATTCATCTTTTTCTGCCCAAAGTGTCCCTTGGCTTGAATTAAGTTTCAGAAGAAAAATCAGTTGCATTTATTCTTCAGAGCCCTAGTTTTCCTGAAGCTTAAAGTAGTAGTTTTAAGAAAAATGAATTGCAAAGAATTTTCTACATGACGTACATTAAGGACAGGGTAGAGAATAATGGAAACTACTTTTTAGAGTATCTCTTTCTGCAGGGAAAGAGGGATACATTGAATGGCAAGCTTTGCTAGTCTGAGTGGACCACAGGCAATTTGAAATCAAGTGAGATCTCAGACTGAGCAAAAGAAACCTTGATATTCTAGGGAGAATCAATAGTAGCTTAATCCTGTTGCATGCTTTTGTTGTCTGTGACACACTTCCAGTGTTCTTCATTCCATTTCCCCACAAGGCCTTTTTTCTACATTGAAGTCCCATTTATGTAAATAAAATATCCCTGTTGTCATTGAATATTTTCTAAGAACATATGACACCCAAGGAAGAAAGATACTTAATTAAAAGAATAAATAAACCAAATGTGATCTCTGCCCTTGTGGAGTTTATCATGTGCTGGAGAGATAAGATATCACCCAAACAACCTCACATAGAAGTATATCTTTACAAACTTTGGTGGGTGCCATGATAGAGAAAAGAACATAGCATTGTAAAGACCGTAAGTAGAAAGCCTGGCCTCTTCTGGGGAGATGTGAGTGATATTTGGAGAAGAGCAGAGGTTCTAAGACAAAAACATAAGGGTCATAAAAGAAGATGAGCTTGGCTAGTGTATGGGAGTTGGGGGTGAGTGACTTTCCATGGAGCTGAAGTTGCCCAGACCATATGTGTTCTTGTTGGCCATGTACCATATTCAGGCCCTTGTCCTGAGAGTAACATGAAGGCAACACATGCTCTGCATATTTAAAAAGATTATCATTCAGAGCTGGCAGAGTGACTCAACTGGTAGAGCACCTGCCTAGCAAGCATGAGCATAGAAGAACAAGAGTGGATGCAGGAAAATCATGAGGAAGAGTTGCAGTTTTTCAGGGAAGATATGATGGTAACACAGACTAGGGTTGTGGCCATGTGGGTTGGAGAGGAATAGATAAGTAGAAATGATTTGGGGGAGGCTGATTGGATTTAGGGGGATGAAGAAGCAGAATTCAGTTAGATTTGCTATATGCTACATGTGAAAGTCACTGGTGACTTTTGCAAGAGCTCTCTGCTTAAGATTTTTTTTTTTTCAATATTGGGGTTTGAACTCAGGGCTTTGCACTTGCAAGACAGGCACTCTACCACTTAAGCCACACCTCCAGCTTCAAGAGCTCTCTGAATGAAATGATTGAGGGGTGTTGACTAGAGCAGGCTGAGGAGTGAACATAAAATAGAAGGGTGTGGAGTCCCAAGTCAGAGACATCCAGTATCCCTTCCCAACCAGCCAGGAGCACTAGGTAGACTGTACTTTGCTCATGCTGTAGGACGTTGCTCAGAAAACCCAAGAACTCTCGCAGGTCATGGGAAGTTGGTCTGCCAGAAATCTCTTTTGTAATCACGTGTTTTTTTGATTTGCTCCTCTAGCCCTAATCGGCAGCCATTTGTTCTCTTCGGTAATCACTCCACACAAGAAAACCTGAATGCTGGCAACTTTAACTTCCCTTCTGAAGGGCACCTGGTACGCAGCACTGGTCCTGGTGGGAGCTTTGCCAAACACATGGTGAGTAGCTGGACTGCCTAATACATGATTATTTTTATTGTCAAACTGGGAAGGAGGGCTGCTGGACAAAAGGAACCTTTCCCAATTATAGTGTGTTGATTTCATCCTGAATTTGAAGTTGTTTTGGAGCAAATAGGAGTGGTTATTGAAAACATTTCAGTTTGAAATATTTGAAGGAAAAAGTTTAAAAACATACTTTCATAAACCACTCTTTAAATTGTCACAGTGGTAATAAAAATTTCACATTAAAACTGGACTCAGGTGACTCATGCCTGTAATCCTAGCTACTCCGGAGACTGAGATCAGGAGGATTATAGTTTGAGGCAGTGTGAGCACTAGTTCTTGAGACCCCATTTCAAATTAACCAGAGCAAAATGAACTGGAGGTGTGGCTGAAGCGATAGAGCACCTGAGCACCTACTTTGAAAGTTCAAAGCCTTGAGTTCAAACCCCAGGCTCACAAAAGAAAGAAAAAGAAAATTTCAAATTAAGGGAGACCAGGAGGATTGTGGTTTGAGACTAGCCCAGACAAAGTTAGCAAGACCCAATCTCAAAAGCAAGCACTCCGTAGATGTGGTGGTATACACCTATGGTCCTAGCTACTCAGGAGGCAGAGTCAGAAGATCACAGTTTAAGACCAGCCTGGGCAAAGTTAGCTTGAGAGACACTATCTGAAAAAGAAACTAAAAGAAAAGGACTAGGGGACATGGCTTAAGTGGTAAAGCTTTACTTATCATGAATTCAATCCCCCAGAATTGCCAAAAGAAAAAAATTCAAATTCATTTGAAAATAGTCATTCTAAGCCTAAGTTTGTTATGTTCCAATTGTTACATTTAAACCTTGATGATCATTGTTTTATTGAGTGTGTAGGGGAAAGTTTTGTATTTAATGGTGTTTTGTTTCATTACCTCTTTTTTTTTTAAATCGTGCTTCAAAGACCTTTTTTTTGCAGTACTGGGGCTTGAACTCAGGGCCTACACCTTGAGCCACTGTACCAGCCCTTTTTTATGTTAGGTATTTTTGAGATAGGGGCTCATGGAATTAATTGCCCGGGGCTGGCTTCGAACTGCGATCCTCCTGATCTCTGCTTCCTGAGTAGCTAAGGTTACACGCGTTAGCCACCGGCACCCAGACATTACCTTCTTTTAAAAGAAAACTTTAGGCCTGAATATGGGACTCTTAATTGTAAAAGTCTATGCTATTTTACTGGAATTTTAAGTATTTTCAAAATGTTCTTGACAATCAGGAAAACTAGGGTGGTAGATACTGGTTTTTTGTTTGTTTGTTTGTTTTTGTTTTTAGTGCTGGGGTTTGAATCCAGGGCCCTGAGCTTGCTAGGCAGATGTTCTACCATTTGAGTCAGGTCCTCAGCTCTTTTTGCTTTAGTTATTTTTCAAATAGGATCTTGCATTTATGACCCAGCTGGTCTGGACCACTATCCACCTACTTCCCTACTTCCCCACTAAGTACTACTAAAAACCCTGGATATTTCATATAAAACAAGTACATGAAGACTCTGAAAAGTGAAGAGAAGGAGGCACATTGGCTAAAGACCACATGACCAAAGCAATAAGATGGTAGTGAGTTCTTTAAGTTTTCTTTTTCCCTTTTACCCAGACTGGATACTGGAGAATATCCAGAGATGTTCAGAGGATCAGAAAAAGCACAGACTAATGAGACAGAAAACTTTCAGACAACAACTTCTCTACCCAAATGCCACAGAAAAACTGTATGTCTATCCCTACCCCTGCCTGCAAAGGCTGAATGAAGAGCCTAGTCATCCTCCCTTGCAAGACTGTAATGAAGTACCACTTCATCCCAATTCTTGGGATAGTGTCAGAAAAGGCCAAGTATGTGTACTAACCTTACACAACACCCACCCAAGGAGAGGGACCTCTCCTTGGGGCAGGATTGTAGGAGGTCAGTAGAGAATCATGACTGTCAATACCACTGAGCAGTTAAAGGCCGTCTCCTTACCCATAATATTTGTCACCCTCCAAACCCGGATTGTATCAACTAAGGCATACTGAGGAATCTGAACTCCCACTGCCACCACCTCATCCATACACATACAAGAGGTATCAATAGCAGCTGAGTAGAGAACATGGACTTCTACCCCTGACTGGCAGTAATGAGGTGGCAGCTCCTCCTGCTGTCTCACTGAGGCAGGTTGGAGAGGCCTTCTAAAGCACAAGATTTAAGAAAGATTCAGAGTAAACTTTATTCCTGTTCTGACATGTAAAGTGTAAAATTTCAAGTAAAAAGTCAAATAATTGAAAATCAAATACCTTTTTTTTGGATCCATTAGAGAACTAAGATCTCAATGCAAACTGCTACTTTGAAATCTGGAGAGGCAAGTGAAGCCATAGAGTTACAGCCAGTATCTGCTTACTTGAAGCAGAAGCCACTGGAATTAAAAAATTGGTGGGACCACTTTAATGGTAATTGTGATGAAATTCTCAGGGATGAATGTTGACTAGTGTGGGAATAAGAGACTCCTAGAAGGCACAGTCCTAAAGGGGATCTCCACATTTTCATGGGTTTTACTTTCAGAACCCCAGCAGGTTCTCATGGTGAAGAGTCAAGAAAAATTCCCTCATGACACTGGCAGAGGAGGATGAGTAACCATTTTAAATATGGGAAAGATAGAAACAAAGACCTTGATAGCAAAGACATTCTCTTGAGGATGAAAGATTTTACCCAAGCCCTATTGCATTTGGAAGAAGAGCATTCCCTTAACTGTTATACTCTAGCCCTCCTGTTTCTTCAACTAGGGGAGGTAGAGGAAGAACTAAGCTAAGAAACTCCTGTGAAGATCACAGTCCAGAGATACAGGTCCAGTAAAATATTGAGATGTAATCATAACATTGTAGAAAGTTTTCCCTCACCAATTACCTTGGTACCACCCCAGCTGGTCTGCAGTGCAGTTGCTGGTGATCACTACTGAAGAGCCACAAGACATAACCAAATAAGGAAGAATTCCTAGGGAAACTCAAAAGACAAAAAGAGAGATGAATGCAAGAACACTGCAGGAATATGAATATGAACACTCCTGGTACTTACAGCTACAGAAAACATTAAACAACCCAACAACCCAGCCAGATTAACACAAAATTTAATATTAAAAGTCCATTTACCTCAGTTCCTATTACCTGATATTTCATATCTGGTTTTCAACAGAAAGTTTTAGAACACGCTAAAAGGCAAGAAAAAACATTGTGCCAAGGGCTGGTGGTTCATGCCTGTAATCCTAGCTACTCAGGAGGCAGAGAGCAGGAGGATTGTGGTTCGGAGCTAGCCCAGGCAAATAGTTTGAGAGACCTTATCTCAAAAATACCCAACATAAAAAAGGGTTGGCAGAGTGGCTTAAGTGGTGGAGTGCCTGCCTACCATGTGTGAGGCACTGAGTTTAAACCCCAGTACCTCAAACAACAACAACAACAAAAAACCATTGTGTGAAAAGATACTGTACGAATTAGTATTTAATCTTAATTCTGAAAAAAAAAAAAGAGACAGTGCAACCATCACAATTAGACTTCAATAGGAGTCATAATTTTCTGACAGAATTTGTTTTAATTTTTTTTCAGTGCTGAAAATGCTGGGCAAGTGCTTTACCATTGAACTGTATACCCAGCCCCAGAGAGAAAATTTTAAATAACTATGATTAAGATGTTAAGGAAGCTAATGAAAAAAGTAGGTAACATGTAGGAATAAATGGATAATGTAAGCAGGAAAATGGAAACTCTTGAGAAAGATTCAAAAGGAAATGCTGGAGGTCAAAAACATTGTAACAGAAATGAAAAATGCCTTTGATGGGTTTATCAGCAAATAAGACTTATCTGAGAAATAAACAATGACCTTAAAGTTAGGACAATATAAACCTCTCAAACTGCTGGGCACCCGTGGTTCACATCTGGAAACTAAGCTACTTGGGAGGCTGAGATCTGGAGGATCACAGTTTGAGGCCAGCCCAGCAAATAGTTCATGAGACCCTATCTCTAAAATAGCCAGAGCAAAATGGACTGGGGGCATGGCTCAAGCATAGAGCACCTGCTTTGCAAGCACAAAGCCCTGAGTTCAAACCTTAATCTTACTTGAAAACAAACAAAACAAAACACAAAAAAACCCCAAACTGCTAGCCGAGGGACTCAAGTGGTAGAGAGCCTCCTTAGCAAGCATGAGGCCCTGAGTTCAAACCCCAGTACCACCAAAAAAAAAAAACCCAAAACAAAACCTTCCAAACTGAAATATAAATAGAAAAAACAATGAGAGAAAAAGCAGCTCTATTCCAGTGTAACATACTCATTATGGACAATTGATAAATTAACTAGTGCCAGCCAGGCATGGTATAACATGCCTGTAATTCCAGCACTTGGGAAGCTGAGGCAGAAGGGTTATGAGTTCAAGGATCATGCTATAGGGCAAAAAAAGAAAAAAAGATAATGCCAGATAATTTAAGCATTTTTATATGTGAAATTCTCTTGTACCAATTATTTTTTTAAATAAATGTCAACAAATTTCATGTTAATCAGTGCTGATCCAGATTTGTGACTTGACCTAAGCAAGCAGGTTTAAAACAAATGGCACTTTGAAAAAGAAACCTTTAGTAAGGGAAAATTTGGAAAATTTGTTTTAGTTAAGAAAATACCCCTGAACTAAATATATTAGCCAACAACTAGGAACATGTATATGAGTTTTCATTCAGTTTCATCACAATATTGTTCATATTCACCACAGTGAGGTGTAGATTAATTAAAGTCATGTCTGTAACTTGGATTTACAATGTTACAGAAAAATGCCAGGTATTCTGGTGTGACTTCCTCAAATGAAGTAAAACAGAAGGAATGAATGAATAATTGTGAACACTTAGCTATTTTTAACATAGTGTACTAATTTTCATTCCTGTAGTGCTCATGGTAGCATGCTTACATTTTGTTCCTGCTATCCTAGGAACCTTTAGGAAGTTGGACATCTCTTATGTTGGACACCATTTATATCTTTATATAAAAGAACCACTTAACAGGGAAGAAGAATAAAATTTTTAAAAATCTAGAGGAACTCATTTTCTCTTCTGTAAGAGCTTATGTACAGAGGTGAAATCCAAATGAAGGTGAAGACCTGGTTTCTTAAATTTTTAGCTGCCCCACACCTTTGTCTGTCATGTGGGCCAAGGTCTTTACTGTAAAAGCTCTGAATTGAATATTATTGGCAATCAATCAAAACCTAAACACACTGCCTATTTTTTCCTTCTGAGTTGTAAATTCATTAGCATCCTGGGCTAATTTGAGTATCCAACAGCAACCACACATTATATCCAGGATTTTTTTGGGGGAGGGGGGACGACACAAACACAAACAAAAGATGCCTTTGGAAAAAACAAATTAAAGGTGCTGTTTTCGCCTATGTCTTTAAAAAATAAATCAGTTTTGGTGAAATAAAGTGTACTTCCATTAACTGTATGCCTTTTGTTTCTCTAGCAGTACATGCCTTAGTCTGATCCTTTTTAAAATTTATTTATAATTTTTTTTCTAACATCCAGGTAGCACAGTGTGTCTCACCAAAAGGACCTCTGGCATGTTCAAGAACATACTTTTTTGGATCTACTCATGTTCCTTACTTGGGTAAATCACTATCTTACCAACTTATCTAATGCATGGTTTCTCCCATGAATGAGATGTTAATGTATGATTTGCTACTTAGGAAGCTCATGATACTGTTTGTGGGCCTCACCTCCCTCCCTGATGGCAGCTGAAGAGTTGATGTCTCAAACATGTTACTCACAGAACTTATTTCAGGAGAAAACCCATTGGTTCAACCTATAGTTTAGAGGCCCTATGCTCAGAATCAGAGGAAAGGCCAAGATGAGTAAGACCTATTTCGAGATAGTAGGAGGTATGGGCTATAGCAGGAATGTGTATGACTCTGTCAGGTCTTTACCCAACTGTTCTTGTGAGGAAAGTGTGAAGGCCATGATAAAAGGCACATGGTTGCTGGGAACTTGCTGTAGCACCATCCAGAAAAGCTAGACTAATGGACTACCCAGAAGCTGCAGGAATAAAAAGAGACACGGTAAACTGTTAGAAGGGTTGTGGATCTCAGCATTGCTACCCAGAAGGAAGTACATCAGAAGCCAGATTTTCTTTTGAGTGTTGTTAAATAAGCCAGGAAACTCTGGAAAGAAGTATGACTTGGGTCAGGTAATTAAGGAAATAAAGAGACAAAACTGAGCCTGCTTACTGACAACTCAAAGTTTAAAAAATTAAAATACAGGTAAAAATATTCCAGAGCCTAAGATTCTGCTCATCTTCTCTGTTTAGCGGTGGTGCTCAGTAGGTTGTAAAAGTGGAAATTGTAGCCAGGCACTGGTGGCTGAGGCCTGTAATCCTAGCTATTTGGGAGCCAGAGGTCAGGAGAGGTTTGGGGCCAGCCCAGGTGAAAAGTTCTCGAGACTATCTCGAAAATACTCAACATAAAACAGGGCTGGAGGAGTGGCTCAAGGGGTACAGCACCTGCCTAGCAAGTATGAGAGCCTGAGTTCAAACCCCATTACCTCCCCCCCCCAAAAAAAAAGTGGGACTATACTTTCAAATTAAATTAAGCGCTTCTAGTCTACTTGTGAACATATCCTATGCTCTTCTCACATTCTTTGTGAGTTTTTTGGGGTGGGGGGCGCGAGAGGCTGGTATTTGAACTCAGGATTTTGTGCTTGCAAAAGCAGGTGCTCTACCACTTGAATCACACTGCCAGTTCTCTTGTCACATTCTTAATACATGTGCTTTTTCACAGGTGATGATCACAAGCTGCCCAAGAATGACAAGCTGCCCGAGAAAACTGAACAAATGTAAGTCTTTATATTTATATTATTTTTTCCTTTTCTCAAAGTTGTGTTTCTCAGTTGTAGTTGTCCTGTTTCATTCGTATTCAGCTCAGCAGTGGTTATAACATTTGGTTATGGGTGGACATTACTATCTAGTTTCATAGAAGGCCCCAGTGCCTGTTTCTCAGCTTGAAATGTAAGCTAGAGGACTGTGCCAGGTTTGTCATCTGCTCCTCTCTCTGAAACTCACAGACTTTCTATTTGCACACTCATGCATTTATATGATATAACTCCCCTCCATGTTTTGCATAGTGCATTATTTTTATTAGGGACTTTCCCAAAAACAAAACATTTTAAAAATCCATTGGAAGGATCTGTGTGAAATCCCATGTGGTCTGGATTTAACACTCAGGCTTGTGGAACAGAGCTGTGGTGTATAACTTTAGAAAGGTCCTGCCTAGTGTTGACTTCCCTTTCTTTACATACAGCAGGAAACCACAGACTGAAATAAACTCAGTAATGCGGAAACTATGCAATTCCAGAAAGCATCCTCCTTCAGAACAAACATAGTAAGAGTGCTATTACCTAATTAAACTAAATAAATAAACTGGTGTGTCTAGACCAGTGCTTTCCGAAGGCCAGCAGGGACAAACCCACAAAGAATTATCTAAGGAGCCCTTCAAAATGTAGTTTCCTAGATGTAAAGGTGACCTGGCTTTTGCATCTGTCACCCCATTGATTGTCAGGGTTAATTTGCCTGCTCTGCCTAGCTAAGTGGATGTCCCCTTCTTTCCTCACTGCCCCATGTTCATTCCTCCCATGCTTCCTAAAGCTGTGCACTCCATCAAAGAAAATGACCTTCCCCAATAGAGGAGGACTGTTCTTCAGTCAAGAATACACAAGTAATTATGCTCCCTTGCTAAACCTCCAGATAAGCTCTCAAGGTCCATTTGTAGAACGTGGGTCGTCCAAGTTCCTGTGATTCCAAATGAGGCACTGTGCATGGCAGTCTGCCTTTCTTTAGGGACAAAAAAAGAAATATGTGAGAGAGAGAGAGAGAGAGAGAGAGAGAGAGAGAGAGAGAGAGTGTGTGTGTGTGTGTGTGTGTGTGTGTGTGTGTTTTCCTCAGCCCAGTCCCAGGACTACTCAATCAGAATATTTAGGTTAAGGCACATAAAGCTGTACTGGGAAATACAGTAATATAATTATACCAGAGAAAATAGGAAATCGAGAGAGGAAGATAAAGATCAGCCATAATCTTCCTCTCTGGCACTGTCCATTAGTAGCTTATGTACAGTATATTTTTCTGAGCTTTTGGGAAGATTATGCATTTAGGTTTTACCGTAATCATGATGTGTATATAGGTTTTTTTTTTCAGGTTTCCTTTACTTTAGCAGCAAGTCAACCATTTTCTTTTATTTTAATGGGTGTAGTCTTGCTTTTTGCCTCCTCGTGCTTCCATGTCAGCATGCTTAGCCACTGCCTAGGATCCTCATTCTGGATCCTTTGACATTTCATCGTTTGGTACCTGCATCAGGGGTTTGTTGGGCCACCATCAGGAGATTTGCCAAATCACAGTGCTGGTACAACTTGGACTTTGTAGGGTCCTAGTGAAGGTAGCACCAGCACCCAGTTTGTTGGTCAATAGCTAGATACTGGATTGTGTATTGAGCTCTTGTCTAAGGATTTGTATAGGAAAAAGCCAAGTAATGGGGAGACTGACCAATATTGAAATGAGTGATATTTGAATCAAACTGGAGAGGACATACCCTTACATATTTTGGAATTAGCTTTTATAAAACTTCACTGTAGTGTCATGGTGTGGAGGATTCTTCTGGTCTTACCAGCTCATTGGCAGTGTCTCTTTTAGGCCCCTTCTAGGCTGACCTGGTCTAGCCAACAACCTTCAGGATGTATTGATCCATGGAGCTGTCATTTTATTATATGAACTCTCTCCTTTTTTCTTCTTCATCCCAACTCAAATTTCTTGTCTACAAAATGGAGGTGTAGTACAGGAGCCAAGGAGGAAGTGAAGGTGACAGCAGTATATTGTGGCACAGTGGAAAGGCACCAGGCTATGAATAGGCCTAAGATCTGGTGTGCCATAAGTCTCTGTGATCTTAGATAACTTACTACCCATCCAGAAGCTGTGCTTGCTTGCTTCTGTAAAATGAAAGGATTAGACCAGATTATTTCTCTATTTCTTTCTACTTTCAAATACTTTTACCTTACAAGAGTCTCATACACTGGGCACTGGTGACTCACACCTGTAATCTTGGGATTATTGGGCGGCTGAGATTGGAAGGATCTTGGTTCAAGGCCAACCCAGGCAAATTTAGTTGGAGAGACCCCCATCTTCAAAATAACCAGAGCAAAACAGATCGGTGGCTCAAGCAGTAGAGTGCCTGTTTTGCAAGCATGAATCCCTGAGTTCAAACCCCAGTACAACCAAAAAAAAAAAAATGAGAGAGGGTGTCTCACAGGTTTAAAAATAGACATTCTTTGTGAGGTCTTGTCAGTTGTTTGCCAGGAAGCTCCCTTGCCTTTCAGGATCTCATAGATGAGCCCCTTCTCTCTATAATTATAATTGCAGTATCATGATTGAAAAAAGTCTCCCTAAAGCAGTGGTTCTTGACCAAGGGTAATTCTGCCATTCTGCTTCTACCTTCCCAGCCCAGGGCATATTTCATAGTGTCTGGAGACATTTTTAGTTACCACATGTGGAGGATGTTACTCATGTCTAGTGAGTAGAGGTGAACGATGCTTCTAAATATCCTACAATGCACAGGACAGACAGATCTACAACAAAGAATTATCTAGCCCGCAGCGCCAAGGCTCAGAAACTCTTCCCTTAAAGAGACCAGACTTGAATTTTCTGGAGACCTTCGCAGAAGTCCCAGCTTGGCTTCAAAGAAGAAAATCTTTTTTATAATGACTTTGGGAATAAAAAATGAGAAAGAAAGAGCAAAATCTGGGAGGAAGATGAGAGATCCCCTCAGAAAAATTCTCTGTTCTTTAGGTCAGGCAAGCTGCTTGGAGAGCAGCCTGCAGCTGTTTAATCTGAATTTAATTGAATCCAGCTTCTCAGCATTCTCTCCGGCCTGGTCCCCACGCCCAGGCTCCTGCTACTCCCATAGCTACCAGGTCTGGTGAGGAGAGGACAATGGAGGTGTAGTGTGGCTCATCCCTAGTAAAGCTGCAAGTCTACATCAGTACAGTGAAGGGATGGATTCTTGGTCTCTAGGTAGTTTTCCTGCTTATGGAGGGCTCTGGGAGCCTACTGGTTTTTTCTGTTTAGTCATGAAAATGGAGGATTTGTTTTTTTGAACTCAGAGGAACTGACTTTTTTTTCCTTTTTTTTAAAGATTATTTAACAAGAGCAAAGTATAAAACAGGCATAGGATAGGACTTTTATAAGGATAGGACTTTTATAAGGTTTAGAGTTGCTTTTTTTCAACGAGTTCTGCTTTTGTACTTTTTTCATTCTGGGTACTATCATTTATGTGCATGCAGCTTTCTTGATGAGACCTTGTGATAATATTCTTAATCATTATTTTTTGTTTTTAAAGTAGGCTCTTGTCCCAGATATATGCTGCTGTTATTGAGGCTGTTTTGGCTGGCATTGCATGTTACACTAAAACTACCAGTCTAACAAAGGTAATTTTAATACCACATTTCTCTTTCTGTAGTCATTATTTTAATGTAAAGCATCCTATCCATTTGTTTTTTTCTTTAGACATCTTACTGTACTCACTTTAGTGTGAGCTTGGGCCTCTGTTGCACCATAGGCAGCTGAGCTTCTGTTGCCTATGATCATGCTGCTATTGTTTTATGAGTTACAACTAATCGGCATGTCTTTCAGACATCTGGTTCTGTTAAAAGTCATTGTCTTATTAATAATTTAAACAAAATGCTTTTAGAAGGGCTGGAGGAGTGTCTCAAGTGGTAGAGCGCCTGCCTAGCAAGCTCAAAGCCTGAGTTCAAACCCCAGTACCACAAAAAAAAAAAAAAAGCTTTTAGATGCTTAAGAAAAATACATATACTCCACTGTGAATTTTAATAAACTTAGGTAAGTCTGTTTTGAGCTACATAGTTTGGTTTCTTATAATTCAATGTTTTAAAAAATCAACTACAGACTAGGAAATCTTACTTGCCTTTCCTAGACAATCATGCATGTTGTTGCTCTCTGACCATTTTCTTCCTTGCTGTTTTGCGGTTAACCTGCCCTGCTGAGTTGGATTCCTAAATCTGACCCAGTAAGGAGATGAGAAGAGTCGGCTTGATGCCTCCCAATGCCAATAGGACCTTTCCTGAAGGAAGCCAGTTGACATTGGAAAGGTTGTGTATGATGTAGATATCAGAGAGACCTTAGCCGTAGACACCAGCTCCTTGCCATCCCCCTTCTCACTGAATTGAATCTTGCTGCTAACTCAGTAAAAGGCCCATGCAAAGCCATGGGATGTCCTTCAGTATCACTTCTCACATCTTTGTTTTCTTACTGATTGTAACTCTAGCTATTTGAACATTCTTAGCATCTGGCAGAAACTGAGGTCAGTGGTTCCTCCCCCAGATCCAGGGGAAAGGAGAGGTAAAAGGACTTTCCTAGACCTCACATACTGCTGGCATCACTCCAGCTGCTTACATCTCTCCAGCAGATAGGTACCAGTGCCCACCTGTCTAAATGTAGTTTTTTCCTGTGAACCCAGCCTGAAGAAAGCAGGCACCTGTTTCCCTTAATCTGATATTTTCACTTTAATCTCCCGATGTGTACAAAGTAGTCACGTAGAAAGGAAGGGCACTAGCCAACTGTTAGAAGCGCCCTTCCTATCAGTGATATGTGGCACTTTTTGCTGCGTGAAAGCTAATTGTCTATTTTGTTACTGCTTTTATAGGCCAAGGAGATTGCAGAACAGACCCTGGGATCTTGGCTAGATTCCTTTGAGTTGGTTAAGTTTAAGGCAGCCCTACGGTAAGCAATGGCTGATACTTTTTATAAAGATTTTTTGTTTGCTTTTTTAAAGAATTTCTTATCCTTTATAATTTACATTCCAATTCCACTTTGAGAAATGTTCCAGTAAAATAATGGGATATGTGAAGGAGAATCATTCCTGATCAGACCTTTATTTGAGAAGCCAAGGAGCCAAACATGGAGGAATTATATGAGGAAGAGTCACATACATGTTCTAAGGGAAAATGTGAGGCAGATTCATACCAGAACCATGTGATCCCTAACAGGCCAGGTTCCAAAGTTAAAAAGGTAAAGCAGGGGACCTGAGAGGTAGGCTTATTAGCAGAAGAGGACATGGGCACATGAAGATAGTCACTGTTTAGAAGAGACTTGCCTTGGGTCTCACCTACCTCTCAGATGATAGAGACCCTGAGCTTGGGGTATAGATGTTCTGAAAATCTGGCTTCTTGCTATATTCCCATCATGTCTTCTTGCACATACCTTTGCACCTCTGTGTAGTCTTTCTCCATAACTAAATTTTCATGAGCCCAGTCCATATATACCCCTCCTCCCCCAATCTCACAGGAGGCCCATTTTTGTGCACTTTTATGCAGGGGATATGAAAGACCTGTAGTGGGGAGCTTATTTAAGAATACTTCTAAGGTGTTCTCTATGTTGTCTCCACACCTTGTCCCACATTTTCTTACATCTACAGCCCTGGGTAGTGAGAATGAGCATTTGTTAGATGATGTCAATCAGTTGATCTAACAATAAGAATTCTGTTCTCTTGCTGCAACTCCAGGAATAGAGTAAGGAGGCAGAACTCTGTGGTGCAAGGGTTTTTTTGTTTTTTGTTTTTTGTTTTTTTTAATCTTGCTTCAGGTCTCCTTTTCCCTGGGTCTTCTGGATCTTACTCTTCTGGCCATGAGAGATAGAGGAAGCCTTTTCCCACAAGGCCTTGTGCTACCTTGCACTGTCTGTTGTTGGCAGGCCTTAGTTTGAGAAAGCTCTTCCACTTTCCTGCTATGTGACTTTAGGCAAGATCAGGAGCTTTTGAACTAGGAATGGCTCAAGTGGTAGAGTTGAGAGAGGAGAGACAGCCCAAGAGAGAGATTGAGAGAGATCTGTATCTGTCTCCTGAACTGCCCACTTTGTAGAGTGATCAGGAATGAGGGTCTTGGTTTCTGTTGTAGTGAGATCTTCTCTATTACCATCAACATGGCTGACATAGTCCTTTTGCTGCTCTTCTTCCTCCATCTCTGGCCCAGGCCACTTCTCAATCACAAAGCTTCCTAGGCCTAAATGTACCACCCTAGTTGAAGAAAGGCACAAGGAGAATCCTCTGAGCAATCGGAATTCCACCTGGAATTCCACTCCATTTCCTCCCCAAGGATCCACTTCACTGCGGACCCTAACTGTATCACATTAGCAGATCTTCTCCTGAGAGGGGAAGGAGTTGGGAGCCATGAATGTAAAGGGGAAGTTAGTGCATTACTAACTAGTACTTGTTAAGACACAAAATTAAGCTTATGCAGGCTAAAAACTTTCTTATACAAAAAGAGTAAGCCAAAAGGATTTTCTGGTTATTCCTTAGCCTGACCCTGCCGTGGCTCCACAGTAGTTGACTATGAATATCAGGTACAAGCTCTCAGCTTGTGTAAGAGCAGAGCTGGCAGCTTGACCCAAATGTTGTGAAGAGAAAACAGATTAGGGCAGTCCGTAGAGGCTGTAAGGCGGGAGGTCTTGAGTCAGTAGAGGGCCACTCGAGCATTCTCCCCTGCTCTGAGCCAGAGTCAAGGGAGCTCTGAGGACACAGAGGCAGAACTGTGACTGGAATCAGACCTAGTTCCACACCTGCTGATGGCATGGGATCCTGGGAAAGGTATCTAAAATTGTTAAAGTAAATCTATATAAAGCAAGGATGACACCTTGTTCAGTGGCTTGAGAGTCCAAGGTAGGCCTGCTACAGAAGCAAGTGTATGGTAGAATACCAACCCAATAGTAAGTAAGAGAAGATTGACTTTAGTTTTGTTTTCTTTTTTGGTCTACAGCTCCAAGGTGGCTTTTCATATACATGCTGTGAATAATCAGGGAAGGTAAGTGTATGGTTGTGGTACCTCCTCACATGGGGCAAGTTAAGGAGCATAAAAAGAGGAGATGTTAGCTGAATGTGGTGGTGCATCTATGTTCTCCTCACTCAGGAGGCTGATGCAGGAAGATCATGAGTCAAGGCTTGCCTGGGCTACATAACAAAAACCTGTCTTGGGGAAAAAAAAAGGGAGAACAAAGAGAAACTGTTTTGTAGCTGATCTCATAGTTCCATCTCCACAAAGGTCACTCCAGACTTTGGCTTGGGCAGGCTGTGCTCAGCTGAGCCCCTCTACCCTGAGTTCTTCCAACAGAAGGCTGAGGGGCAGGAATCAAGGCATAATTCACTCCAGTGACCCTTGTATTAATTCTACATACATGCAACCCAGAGTTTTGAAAATCCCTGAGAGAGGTCTGAGTCTATGAGTTGTAGTTGCCACATTAAATAAAGAGTATATTGTAAATTTCAGTACAGTTAAAAATTCTTTAGTATGTCTCACTTTCTCTCATCTCTTTTTTCTTCTAGAATTGTGCCTCTGGACAGTGAAGATAGCTTATTCTTTGTGAAAACGGTAAGCAGAACTCTATGAATCAGCTGACTGGGAATGGTCTGTAGAGGGATATCTGCAAGGGGTGAAGGTGGGAGTAGGCAGAGGAGCTCCGAGGAGCTGAGATTGTGCTGACCTTTTGTGAAAATCTGAGTTGAAGACAAGCCTGCCTTGATCAACAGACCAATACATTTTCAGTCGTTTCTGTGTATTTCAAGATCTGTATTGATGCCCGTTACAGCAACTTGGGAAAATTCATTAATTAAATAAACAACAATCTACATAGGCCTGTGACTCTAGTGAAGTGGGGTAAACAGAGTAGAACTTTCCACCCTATGTGTTGGGCCCTCATTGATGGGCAGAGGGGTTTAGAGACATAATCAGGTATTGGTCCTTAGGGCAAGATGGCATGACCTGGGGGTCCCACAGTTTGTAGGTCACTTGCAGCCACAAGATGAGGGCTCCATTTACCCCAGCATACTGTGATGTGAAGAGGGTTGGCAAGCAATGCATGAGAAAATGATGAAGATCCAGCTAAGACCCTGGTTGTCATGTGTGTGTGCCTTAATTCCAGCAAACTTTGGTCTTGGGCAATTAAATTACCATTTGATAGCTCAACTATCAAATGCATCCCCATCACTGTGTCAGTGGAAATCAGCTCAGAGTTCCTGTCAGTAATGTTATCTATCTACAGAGAATAGCACAAGGATAGCTTTTTTTTTTTTAAGGTTGTAAGTCATTAATATTTTATAATTGTATGTGGTTTCTATCTGTCGGCATTTTTTGTGTTAATGTTCTTTCAGAACTAATTTAGACTTTTATTTTGGGAAGTGTTCTCTGATATTTAGGTAATAATACTTATCTCTCTGCTAAACTCCAAACCCCTGACTTCTTTCATTAGACTCTTGTGCAGGGCATTGGAAGATGCACTGCACACTTCCAAATTAGGAGTAATCAGGAGTCCAGGAGTCATACTGTTGTAAAGTGTGTATTCAAAGCCAGGTGCAGTGCCAAATAAGGTTACAGCTACTTGTGAGGATGAGGCAGGAAGATTGTTTGAGTCCAGGAGTTTAAGCCCACCCAGTCATCATAGGAGGACCCTGTCTCAAAAAAAGTATGCATTCAGTAGTAGCAGCTAATGAAATAAGAAGGAATTTGATACTTGCTGTGTAAATCCTGTCTTCCCCATTCAGGCAGAGATGTAGTTTTGGTCACCTCCTTGAGGCCTTCCCTATTGATTTCTCCATATAAGTACTGAATTCTTACAGGATTTGCAGTTTGTACTACACAAATTAGGGAGTAATTCTGTACCAACATGTCATCTGATGACTTTTCTGTAAGCTCTTTTCAATTATGATACGTTTTGTAAAGACAGTCGCCCTGTTATATTTTTTTCTTTTCCCATGCCACATGTTGGGAAGTACATGGCAATTATCCAACAAATGTTGTATATATTCTTTGCTTTCTTCTCTGACCTCTTCCTTAACACCATTGGCTAAATATGAATGTGAAGGATCAGGAACCCACAGGATCTATATCCTTGATTCATCTGGGAACCAAAAGATTCTCATTGTCATTTACCAGGGACCACATAGCCCAGAAAGGTTTGTCTTCATATGGTCAAAATACCATGTGAAGATTTAGATAAACCTTCCAGTTGTCAAGCTTAATTAGAAAATTAATTGAAACATAGAAGCCTAATTGTCACTTTTGTGTCTATCCTATTATCATGGCAGGTTAGCAGATAAAGGCCTTTGGCTCTAGCTGTGTTTTTTTCTTATTATTTTATTTTTTTTCTGTCTTCTTTATTTTTTTATTTGAGGATCTAGCAATTCCTTCAAGAGCCCCAGGTTTTTTTCTTCTGTCTTGAGGAGTGGAATGAGGGTCCCAGGCTAAGGCAAGAATGTGTAAAAATGGGCTTAGCTTCAAAAGCTCTGAACCCGCCATTTAGCAGTGCTCAAACTAGGGAGGGGCAGACCTGAGAGGGCTCATTGAACTTCATATCCCATGTTCCTCACCAGATCTTCACAGTCATACTCTGGCTCTAGATGACACACTTCCAACAAGTGTTGGGAAGTTCCATGTTTCTTTTGTTTGTCTTTCAGGTTTTTTAGGTGGAGTCTTGATATATTGCCCAGGCTGTTCTTAAACTCCTGGACTGAAGTGATCTTCCTGCCTCAAACTCCTGGGTAACTGGGACTATAGATGTGTACCTCCTTGCCCAGCTTCTGTATCTAGAATTATTTATTATTAAATTATTCCATTTTCACTAGTTTTTAAATAATAAGTTAGGGTTTTCTTACCAGCCATTCAGGAACTGTCTCTGAGTTCTAATTTTGTTTCCAAGCCACTAAAGCCTCTATTTTTTATTTGTCTTGGCTATAAAAACTTGAATAGCTTTCTTGGTAAAGTTGTCCCCCCTTATCAACAGGGGATACATTCCAGAACCTCCAGTGAATGCCCAAAACTGCAGCTAGTATAGAATCCTAAATATACTATATTTTTTCCTGTATTTACAAATGTATGATAAAGTTTAGTTTATAGATTAGGCACAGTGAGATTAACAATAATAATAATAAAATAGAGTATTTACATAATACACTGTAATAAAGTTACCAGCATCACTACTCTTGTGTTTTGGGACCATTATTAAGTAAAATAAGAGTTTCTACAGCATGTGCTACTACACCTGTAATCCCAGCTACTTGGGAGGTGGAGGCAGGAGGATTTCAAGTATGAGGCCAGCTCAGGCAATTTTATCAAAACCCTATCTCAAAAACAAAATAATTATTTGAATGCAAACACTGTGATACCATGACAGTCAATCTGATAACCTAATGGCTACTAAGCGATTAATAGTACGGATATGCTGGACAAAGGGATGATTCATGTTCCAGGCAAGATAGAATGGGAGTGTGAGATTTCATCTCATATTCAGAATGGCATACAACTTAAAACTCATGCATTATTTCTGGAATTACCCATTTAATATTTTTGGGCCACAGTTGACCAAAAGTAACTGAAACTACAGTAAGTGAAACCATGAGTAAAGGGGGACTAGAAGGAGCATTTGCAGGGCCTGACATGTACACAGATATATCCATGAATACTTGTGTGCCAAATAAATGACTACCTTTCTAGTTTTGTTCAGAACTGAAGCCTAAATCAAACAAGGAATTGGTGAGAGTATGATAATGTAGGGGTATAAAGTTTATAAGTGTACAGAGCTTAGAGGAAACACCTCCAATTCTGACAGGCTGGGAGCCAGTCATAGTTAAGAATGAAGGCTGGGAGCCAGTCATAGTTAAGAATGAAGGCTGTGTTGCCTCTTAGAGGGATAAGAATTTGAGAGAATTTATAGGAACATAAAGATACTATCCTTGTAGCCTAAGTGTGTCTCTGATCAAGGAGCAATTGCAGGGAAGCCTGGATGATCCTGAAGTCATCTCCAGTTCAGAGGTATGTTTCTGGATAGCTTCAGTTTTCCTTAGAAACTCATGACCTTCAGTATTCTTTTGCCATGTGTTTTAAACAGAATTTTGTGGTCTGTTTCCTAAGAATCTCTCCCTGAGGGTATTTGACAGATGACTGGTCTGACTCTAGTTTCTCACTTGATACAGGCTTGTATGACTGTCTGTGACATTCCTGACTTGCTGGGAGGAAGAGGGTGCTTGGGATCTGTGGTCTTCTCAGAATCATTTTTGACATCTCAGATCTTGGTTAAAGAAAAAGGTAAGTACATGTGATCTTTGGGAAGCAAACCTTGAAACTTTTTTTTTTTTTGACAAAATAAACCATAAACTAAGGCAAAAAAAAAACCCTGCATAAATTGATGAAAATATTAGAACACTTAACAATAAGCAAGTGGTTTATATTCTTGTTAATGAAGAGCTCTTACGCATTAATAAGAAAAATATATGATATCCAATAATAAAATGAACAAAAAAATATGACCATGCTGTTCACAGAAATAGAAAACAAAAATTAAGGAGGGGGATATTTATATGGATAAAGATATTCAGCCTCAATAGTAATCAAGATGAAACAATTTGGAACAAAAATTTGAAACCTTTTTTTTGCCATTATGTTGCCAAAAAATTTTAAAGGATGATAATATCCAGTGCTGAGAGGGTGATCTTGATAATGGTGTTTGGTTTTAGTATCTGTACTACCTTGGTAAAAAATTAAAAGTATAAGTAGTATTCCCAGCTACTTAGGAGGTGGAGGTAGATAGACCACGAAAAGTTAGTGAGACCCTATCTCGAAAACATAAAAAACAAAATGAGGAGTGGAGATGTAGCTCAAGTGGTAGAGCACCTGCTTTGCAAGTGTGAAGCCCTGAGTTCAAACCCCCGTCCCACCAAAAAAAAAAACAACAAAAGTGATTTTGGGACTTTTGCTGGCAGAGTGGCTCAAGTGGTAGAGCACCTGCCTAGCATGTGTGAGGCCCTGAGTTCAAACCCCAGTACCACCAAAAAAAAAAAAAAAAAAAAAAAAGGCTGGGGCAGTAGTTTTAAGTGGTTGAGTGCTTGCAGAGGCTCTGGGTTTAATCTCCAGTATCACCCCCCACACACACACACACACACACATAAACACAGTAAAGGTGAAAAGGACTAATTTGTAGGAGTCTTCATTTAAATATGGGTTTGTTTTGGCCTGAAAAATACTCAGATAAATCACATGGGGAAACCTTCCATCTGCTTACTAGTCTCCCTGTCCCCAGATGAGGAAGTTCCATTTTCTGAGGGCACCAGATTATACTAACTCCTGAGAAGGGGAAGGGCGCTTGCTGTCTGGGTAGGTTTATGAGGTGGACTGTGGTGGTTGAGAATAACTGGTGTATCTGTGGTCTTCCAACAGATGGCACTGTTACCACAGAGACCAGCTACATAGTCCTGACAGCTACTATACCCAGATTCTGCTCCTGGCTGGTCAGTATCATCCATGGGTGAAAGTGGACTCCAACATGGAGAATGTGGGGAGGACATTTGAGGAGGAGCCTGCTGTTCAGGAATGAAAGTTTTATCTCAGCCTTTTTCTTTATGTGAATGAATCACATTTCTTTAACTTTCTCATAGTCTTAGAATTTTTTTTTAAATTAAGAAGCTAAGTGATCTGTTAATTGGGCAAGGAAGAAATGAACACCCTCATATTACAAATGAAAATGCCGAGGTTTAGAAGTTGATAATAATCAGAAATACATTCCAAGACTCCCAGTGGCAGTTTGTCTGTCTGAGGTCACACAGATCTTGAGAATTGGATCCTGTGGCTCCCTTCTTTAGTTAGAATGGTTGCTGCTGATTTTTTCACAATATCTCTCTACATGTAGAAAAGTCTCATTTTCCTCAGTGGGTCTTGCTCTGTCACTCTGATGACTTGAGACATAAAAAGTATGATAGAAGCGAGTTTGATATCTAAAAGTCTATTTAAAAGTTTATTTAGAATCTGCTCATATTCTGTTTCTATAGTACTGATGTGGATAGGGAAAACAAAAAGTCATCCTCTGACATGAACATATTTAAATGAGAACACTCTGAAAAATATTTTAGTGTGCTCTCATTCCTTCATCTTTAAACAATTATTTTTTTCTGAAGTGATATGTAAATGGACATTAATACATCTTCTCCATGTATCATTGGCTCATTGATTGAACCTGAGTTCAATCAGGAGCAAGCTGATTGTATTCTAGGGCTCTGAGCCCTGATGACCAGTAGCCATCTCTGTCAGGGTGTCAGAGCCCGAGAACACTGGAAATGGTGGAGGGACTTTTCAGTCAGTTTTAGAAATATTTGAAGTAGTAAACTGAAAATCTGCATTTCTTTTGGACATAGGTAGAAGATAATGAAGTAAAATTGTCTGAGAAAGCCCAACAAGCAGTGAAGGTAAGCAACCTTCTTGTTCCTATTATTAATATTCTCAAAGTATAAGCAATTCATAAAGATAGTTTCAAAGATTTCATCTTACTGTTGAACTAAGGGATCTGTACTTCTTTGTCTTCAATTCCTATTTGCATTTTCCCTTCCCAGCAAGCCTTTAGAAAGAACCACTTTTGGGAGACAAAATTAAAGGAATTCCTTCTGCCATTTAGACCTTTCAGAGTTTTTGAAGTTCTCCCAGTACTATTAAAAGCAGATCCCATATTGGCCTAGATGTTGAGATGAGATGTCAAGGGTTTAGGTCAAGGGGAAGCTGACTCCATTTTTACAGAAAAAAATAAATCCACTGGGACATGAACAAGTATCACAGGCTCTGGTAACGAGACTCAGAGAGGACCTTGACATTCATTTTCTCAGTACAATTCAGGGATGCCAGTAAGATGCCAAAGAGCCAGGCAATGCCAAAGGCCATGGATTAAGTTGGGCATATCTGATTCTGACTCAGCTTTTTAGACAGACAGAATAAGGCAGGACTTTTGATTATGTATTCATTGCCTGTTTTTTGCTTTTTTTGTTGTTAATCTTATTTCTAAAGGGGGACGAGTGTTTCCTGGGCACTTTTCTAACAGGAGGAGAAGGAACATATCTTTATTCCAGTAATCTACAGCCCTGGCCTGAGGAAGGTAAATAGCTGTTCTTGACTGTGTCTGGGTCCCCCTTTGCAGGTACTAGTATGGATGTTGTGATTAATAATATATCTGCTCTTTGAAAAGACTTGTTGGTGTAGAAGTATTTTCTTACAGTTTTTCTCTTTTGATCCACCCACTTTGTAGATGAGGAAACTTGTTATCTTTTACAAGTACAAGGGCTGGTCCCAGAATTGTACCTGGCCCTCTTGTTGGTGTCTGAGGTTTATTCTCAGAATGGGCTAGAGCAACATTTCTAGAAATAGAATCTGTAGACCTGAACAAAATCTGGATTAGTGTTCTACTGCTGTATAACAAATTACCACTCATTTGTAGCTTAAAACAATACCTACTTAACATCTCATAGTTCTGCAGATCAGAAGTCCAGGCAGACTTGTCTGGATCCAGGTCTCATGAAGCCAAAGTCAGGGATCAGCCAAGTGAGACTTGTATCTCAAGGTTTTGGGGAAGAATCTGCTCCCAGGTTTATCCAGGTTGTTGGTCTGCTGATTCCCTGTGCTTGTAGGACTGAGGCCTTCGTTTTCTTGCAGGCTGTCATCTGAGAACTATTCTCAGTTCCTTCTAGAAGTCTTTGTCCTGGGACCCTCTCCATCTCAACAACCAAGAACCTCACTTGTGTTGAATCTCATACCAGTCTGCATTCTGGCCCCTGTGATTCACATCTTTTTTCCCTTATACAAAATACAGTTACCTAGTCCCAAAGGTCTCATCCCATTATGGCAACCATTCAAAGTACTATATCTTATGGGCTCAAAATATGCCAAATCCCATCATTAAGATCATTTAAACCCCATGTACACAAAGCTCAGGTGTGTAATCTGTCAAGTACAGCTCCTAAACAAACTTCTCCCTGTCTCTGTACTTGTGAAACCAAAGAGATAAGTTACCAGCCCCCAGCTCTCTCAAGGTGGGACTAGCATAGTATAACAGAGCTTCAGGTTCAAAGAGGGGAAAAATAGAAGGAGAAAAGGAGCCATCTTCTTAAGACAGCTTTGAAATCCAGCTGAGCTTGATTAGGGTCAAGCCCTGATAATTATCTCCTGTGATTATCAGATGTACACTCCTGGGCTCTTGGTTCTGCCAGCTCTGAGTTCCTGTTTTTGCCTCCTGGGCTCTTGGTTCAGCCCTCTTGAGTCACCTTCCCTTTCCATGAAAGAAAATAATTCCTTGATTAGGACTCTTGGCCTGGAAATAATTCTCCATGTCACTCACTCTGCCCCCTTTGGCTCTTTGTTCCAGTCTCTCAGTTCTTGGTTTCAACTCTTGGGCTCATGACTGTGCTCTCTGTGCTTATGGTCTCACCTCTGTTACCCTTCCTTTTACAGCAAAAAAGAGCACCTTGTTTATAGCTTAGTAGTTTTATCAGTCTGGTTTTTGCCAGTAGAATTCTAGGAGTTCGGTAGCCTCCTTTTTGTTTTCTCTCTCCAAGCTAGCAGTGTTTCTGCTGATAGAAAATTCTCAATAACCTTGTTGGTCTTATATGAATTTCATGGGGATTCATTCTGTGTTCCTTTCCTCCGGTCTGTGGAGGTGGGGAGGGGTGCGTGTGTGTGCGCATTTGTGTGTGTGTGTGTGTTTTCCTGAGTATCCAATCCATAGCCTCATATATGATAGGTAAGCCCTCTACTACCGAGTCTAGTAACACTTTCATGTAAGTTCTGTTCTTTCCCATGTTGAACTTACCCTTGTGTGGACGAAGAGTTCTGACTTCACAAATTCTTCAACTTCCACTAAGCAAATCCTCTTTCTGGATGATTTGTTCTTCTTATGAGAAATAATTCTAACTTGTGGCAAATTCTTCTCCCTGTTTTCAAATCACTGGTTCAGCTCCTCCATTCACATAGAAGACAAAGCAGAAGGAATTCTGATTTTCAGTCCACAAAATGCTGGGGTGATAGTAGCATCTGTTGTCATGCACTTGCCCTTCATTTCTGCTTCTCCAGATCCTGGTGCAGAAGAGCAGGGAGTTAGGAATATTCATGGAAGTCATGCAGATATGACAGTGTTTCCAGTCTTGGAGCAACAGTGTGTTTTTCTTCTCCTTTGTTTTTTATTTTAATTTTTTATTGGTATATATTAATTTTGCAAAGGGATTTAATTGTGATATTTCCATACATGCATATAATTTACTTTGGTCAAATTCACTTCCTCCACTCCCCCTTTCATAGTGTTTTGAAAGCTGGTTGTAGGCATAACACACAGGTGGTTGTGCACTGTCATCCTTGAGCCAGGTGTAATATTTAGCAAGGATACTTGCCAAAATTAGTTTGCACCTTCTTAGCAAAGGGCCTTGTTATAAAACTAAAGGACACAACCAGTGATTTTCTTTTTCTTCTTCCGTGTGTGTGTGTGTGTGTGTGTGTGTGTTAAGCAATTTTCTGCTTCAGGGTTCAGGTCAAGGACTTTTCTGGGTTTTATGGGACTTGAAGTTTATTCCATTTAGGGGCTCTCATAAAGGAAAAATACTACAAAATGGTTAGGGCTTTTCTTAGGCTTCAAAAGGGGGCTTGAGCAGGTGAAGGTCCTGAAGTTCAGGTGTCATGAGTATCTTGATAAATCTCCTTTTAGTTGAAATGATGATGAGTTTGAAATTGATGTGTTCCCATCTCTTCTCAGCAAGCATTGTCTTGATTGATCTTCACATCCAAGGTGAAAACTGACCTGAGGTTGTAGCGCAAGTTAACCACAGCATCTGCAGAATATTCCAGATCTGGATGATATTCCCCTTCTTCCCCAGGTCTTCTGATTTTCCCCTTCAGAGTAAAAAATAGTGCTTTCTTCACCTTGAAATGTGTCCAGCTCTGGAAACTTTAATCTTCCCCAGCCAGTGGCTTCTGCTATCACGAGACTTAACTGTTATTCAGCTTCCCATTCATTCACGTCCTTCAGGTGCCCTTGTCTTCCCACCCTGCTGAGTAAGGCCAGGGAGGCTGCCTTAGTACCTAATACTTAAGAACTTGCTTTAGTTTTTCCACATACACCCATACCCCTAAACAGTGTCCTGTTTTTTAACTTAATCCAAATAGAACCAACACTGTGGGTTCTCCTGGGGCTTGTTTTTTTGTTCAGTATTGCGTTCCTAGGATTCATTAAGATTGTGTGGTATTTGTATGGGAATAGCAGAGCATTGCAATAGGAATAGCAGAGCCATAGTAAACTATGAGCAGATTCAAAGAGGCCAAGACAGCGGCCATTTTAAAGACAAAAATGGGGAGGATTACATTAGCTATTTTGAAACAATCTTTGGCCACAATGATTAATAGCAAGAGTGGTGTCAGTCTGTTTGTGAACACACAGTTGCTGGGCAGATGTCCTTTTATGTCCTTTTTATGTAAGGTTGCAGTGGCCTCCTTGCAAGCTCATGGTTCTGGCAGTCTTTTGTGAAAGTTAGCATCTGGCAATCATGTGTAGGAACCCTTTATAACCTCCCAGTTTTATTCATTTTTGGGGAGAAGGGTTGATAGAAGCAATCCCATTTTGATTCTGACAACTTTCACATTTTCTTGACAGTTGTATGTTGCCATATAGCTCATTCACTTTCATGACTCCATAGTATTGGTTTGTATGAAAATAAGCTATCATTTTTACTCTTTTTTTGGTGGTACTGAGGTTTGAACTCAGGGCCTCATACTTGCTAGGCAAGTGTTTTACCACTCAAGCCACTCCTGCAGCCCTTTTTGCTTTAGTTTTTTTTTTAATAGAGTCTCATATTTTTGCCCAGGCAGGCCTGGATTTTGATCACCTACCCACAGACTTGCATGTAGCCGGACCACAAGTATAGGCCACCACTCCCAGTTTATTGTTTGAAATGGGGTCTCGCTAACTTTTTTTGCCTAGGCTGACCTCCAACCATAATCCTCCTAATCTCTACCTCCCACATAGTTGGGATTATAGGTGTGAGCCACCATGCCTAGCCTATTTATTTATTTTTTGAGGTGCTGGAGATTAGTCCCATGACTTCATGCAAGTGTTCTATCACTGAGCTATACCCACAGTTCATTAGGGAAGATTTTTAACCACTAGTTCAATTTATTTTATGTTTATCGATTATTTCCTTTTTTTTTTTTTTTCTTTTGCAGTACTGGGAATGGAACCCAGGGCCTTGTTCAAGCTAGGCAGGCGTTCTACCACCTGAGTACATCCCTGGATCAGTAACTGTCTTAGTATCTTTTTTCTTCCATTCCTCTCATCTGACTTTTAAACTTCATTGGGCAGGAGCAGAGCCAGCACTTCCTTTTGGTCTAATTTTGCCCCACTACTGAGGCAGAATCCTTCTGAATACCCCATGTCCCTGTGAAGTAATGAGGTTTTCCACTGTGGCTAGTGGGAATGGGCAGAATTTCCAGTGTGAGGTGTATGTTAATGTTCATTACTTTACATATGAATCCAGTTTTGCAGCACCATTTGTTGAAAAGACTCTCCTTTCTACTTTGAGTTGTCTTTGTACTTTTGTTAAAAATCAATTGACCATATATGCATGGGTTTTACTATTTCCTATAGGCCTCAGTGAATGGTTGATACTTGGCTCCTTATTTTTCCTTGTAGTGATTTAGATTCCAGAGTGTTTTTTTCCACCGGGCAGAGATTGACCAGCAATGAGGACCAGAGATGCAGAGATGGGGCAGTGAACACATCTGCATATTTTGGGGACCAAGCTACTTTCATCTGTGTGATGGGCAGGCCCAGCAGCTATCTGCTGTCTTCATCCTCACCTTCTCAAGTTTGTTATATCCACATGAAGCTGTTGTGGGACACTTTAAAAAAGAAAGTTCTCGTGGGGTGCCAGTGGCTCACGCCTATAATCATAGCTACTCAGGAGGCAGAGATTAGGAGGATCATGGTTCAAAGCCAGCCTGGGGAATAGTTCTCGAGACCCTATCTTGAAAAAAACCCATCACAAAAAAAGGCTGGTGGAGTGGCTCAAGGTGTAGGCCCTGAGTTCAAGGACTAGTACCGCAACAAAGAGAAAGTTCTCTATACCATTGATCATGAGTGAATTTTACAGCTGCACGTTACATACAACATGAATGGCTCTCAGAAACAGAATGTTAAGAGAGATAGCAAGTCACAGAAGAACACACGATTAGCTTTCTAGCTCTATGACAAGGTGAAGTAATACCTAGTTTTGGGATGTATTCAAGTATGGTGAAAATACCAGATTGAGGATGTTGGTTCCCTCTGGGTGGAAAGGAAGGGCTGTCACTGAGGAACAACATGCAGTGGGCTTCAAAAGTACTAGTAAAGAATGATTTTTTTTTAGGTTAGGTGGTGAGTACATAGGCATCTGGGTTTTGGTGGTGTGGCTTTGTTCTTTTTCTTTTAAATATGTGTACTGTTTATATCCTCTCACTGACACAGAATGGAAGTTACCCAACCATTGCATTAATTTCCCCAGCAGTGACAAATGTTCCCTTCTCCACACTAGTTGTACAATTGGAAGATTTATTTGTACAGTTAGTTGTCTGAAAGAGAAAAAGCCAAATTCTTCATTGGTGTAATGTTTTGCCCTAAGGGATTTGTTTCTCCGGTTGGACTTCCTGGGGTGCAAAGGTCAATCAAAGACAGAACCATGCTGCAGTCCCCTGCTGCATGAGTTTTGATGGGAAACTTCCTCTTAACCTGGGTTTTCCAGCTTACAGACTGGAACAGAAAGGACAGCACTCATCCACTAAAGACACCAAGGATAAGATAAGAAGCCAGAGTGATGACTTCAAAAGTTGATTAGCCCAGACTCTACATAAGCCCTGCAAAAGCACATCCCTTTAAACTACAGTCTGATAGTCAAGAATCCAGAGCAGATACCAGAATTGTTATCACTTCTGTGGATTAGGATCTCAGAGACCAGGGCACTGGCACTGGTCCACCTGATGACTCACTTCATTTATCTCATATGTGCTCTGAAGTTAATGACAGAGTTACTGCTCACAGAGTACTGCAAACATTGCAGTACTAAAATCAAGTTCTATTTACTGACACCCTGCCCTAGGTCATGCCCCCAATGAGTGCTTTTCCAGCATTGTCTGCTGAATTTCTGGCTCCTTCCCACCCCTCCCCCAGGGATTATTTGTTTGCTATTAGATGTGTGTGGTTGGTGTGTGTGTGTGTGTGTGTGTGTGTGTTAGTTACTAGGGTTTGAACTCAGGGCCTCATGCTTAATAGATAAGTGATTTACCACTTAATCCATACCTCTATCCCTTCTGATTTGTTCTTAGGCTTCAGCATCTAGAGGGAGAGGAATTGCTAGAAATGACCTCCTCATATACCCGTTTTCTGTCTTCCCAGTGAGGAGGTGGAATGCTTTCTACCACTGGGCTGCATCTCTGTCCCCCAATATCTGTTTTTGTTTTTTGAGGTTTGTCCAGGAGGCCCTTGAGTGACACTAGACTTGTTTCTGAGCCACATGTAGAGGGGAAGCCTGGGACATGGAAGGATACAGCTACTAGGTAGTAGTAGGGGAGCAATGACACCTAGGGAGTCCTCTTTTCTTTAGAAACAATAGGTGGAGTCATCTGTGGCAAGAATTGATGAGGCTGTAGCTTTAGAAGATTGTTGAAGGGGGCTGGCAGAGTGGCTCAAGTGGTAGAGGGCCTGCCTATCAAGCATGAGACCATGAGTTCAAAACCCTGTACTGTGGAAAAAAAAAAAGATTGTTGAAGATCATAGGTGATTGCGGTCTGGGTATAGTTGGTGAAAGGAGCTAGAGATTATAATAGAAGAGCCACTGAGCAGTGTTGTGGCCTGTTGAGGCTGAAGAGGCAGTTCATCAATTAGCCATGTGAGGCTCTGGACAGAGGAAATTTGAAAGAAAAAGGTCAAGAGAACTGGCAGGGTCCAATGTGGTACTGTGCCTTTGATGTCACATAAACCAATGTTCTATACTTGACTCCACCACCAAGTAATTCTGTGACTTTTGGGGAAATCCTACTAAGTTTGAGTTTCTTCATCAGTCCCATAAGAGTAACTGTTGCAAAGACAGAAAACTCTACCTATGTGACAATCCTGGTGCTTAGGAAATTCTGAATGAAATCTGTTCCTATCACAAAATAGAGATTCCCTTGACAAAGTAGAGATTAATGGTACCTCCTGTCCCCAGGGGTTCTGACCTTGTTGCAGATGAGAGAAATGTCAGAAATTTCTGAGCACTAGAGGAAAATGGGAGGACTAATGACTCTGAAGGCTCAGTGACATGACATGATGGAGTATTCGGAGAGAGGTAGCTAGAAGGATGGGATGCTGGAGTCAGAGTGGGTTCTGGGGCTAAAGATTGCAGAATGTGAGGTATTGTGGGTACAGCCTCACTGCTGTGGAGTTGGCCTTGAGGAGGAGTGGGGCTTGTGGGGCCTCGACTTGTCCCCTGATGTCTCAGAAGCAATGGGAGCACTGCTCCTGGAAGGAAGACTGTACATACAGTCAGAATCTATTTGAAATAACTTGGCATGATTAGAACAGCAGATGTAGACAGTAAAGGGAGTATGGAGCTTGACTCTCTAAGGGAGCTGACTCCAGGGGAGGATACTGGCCTGTGAGCAGCAGTGAGGAGAACAAGGCAGTATACAGGGAAAACCAGACTTTCCTTGTTGGAAGATGGAAGGCTTACAGGGCTTGAACCTGGATGCCTTGAACTGGGCTGGCTGGCCACTGCTGCTGCTGCCCCAGATAGTAAGGTCATCTTGCTCTCTGACTTAACATCTAGTTCATTCCTTTCACTTGTACCCAAAAACTACCTCACCCCTATTAACACACACTAATTAGCCCTTCTCTTCCTTCTGAAACCCCACCTAATCAGGAAGCCTTCAGAATTCGCAGTCTTTATAGAACCAACCCTCAAAAGGCCTTTGCTCTTCTTGTCATTGCAGCCTCCAGAACTTTGAGGCTGCCTTTATAGAACCACAGCTCTAGGAGTCAGTTCCTCTTTGTCTCTAGTTGTTTGCCTTAGAAATAAGATGTTAGTCATCGTACTCTCAAGTCTGTGTCTTGAGCTTCAGGAACTGCTGTTATCTCTGTTCTATGAATGAAAAGTGATAAACAAAGGCTGCAAAAGAAACAAATAATCCTGTGCTCTGGATGTTTCCTTTGAGGCTCCAGAGCAAGCCCAGGCCCAGCCTTACTTAATCTTTGTCATCTTAGTTATTCATCTTTTCTGTGTTTTCTGTTTTGGGTATGTTTCTTAGTTATCCATTTTGTTGTGTTACCTGTTTTGGGTATGTTTCTTAGTTATCTACTTTGTTGTGTTATCTGTTTTGGGGATATTTCTTAGTTATCCACCTTTTCTCCCTAAGGGCTTGACTGAACTACTCTGTGTGACTGTCTACCTGGGAAGTAGCAGCCCTCCTTAGACCTGAATCCTTGTGCTAAGGATCCCACATTCTGCATCCACCTGGCACATATCTTTCTTTTGTGAACTGCAGAACACTAAGGTCCCAGTGTCTGTAGAACCTACTTAGTGCCTAACTCAAATGTCCCTTTTTTGGGCACATATCCAGCTGAAGCACTTTCAACTGAGACCCTAGTGTTTCTTCTTGGGACCTAAGTAAGGAATGTGATCTCTTTAGGAATGAGCCAGTTTTTGCCAAAATCAGTGGAAGGAAATTCTGGGAACTTAGCAATGGACCACCCATACCCAAATGCTTTTTTAGCATATTTCCTTGGAAGACACCTATAAGAGAATGTGAATTGTGATCCTCCACATCAAATGATAGTTTGTACACTTGTTGGTTTTTCAAATTCTTATGCACAGACTGTATCCATGGCTCTATTTCTCTCTGCAAGGCTCTGCAGGGTTACTTTGTCTTCCCCAGGGGACAGGGCTCAGCATACAAATTGCATAATGTAGGCTCAACTGATACTAGTCTCTAGTTACCTCTCTGGTATGCCCTGGTACTAACAAGGATATTGGAATGTGCCCCTACCCCTCGCCCACCAGCTTTGACCAGCTGTCTTTTCCTTCCAGGGAATGTGCATTTCTTCTCTAGTGGCCTTCTATTTTCTCACCGTCATCATGGAAGTATCATCATTTCTAAGGATCACATGAATTCAGTTTCCTTCTATGATGGGGTAGGTGTTTTACCAGTCCATGGCTTTAGTAGTCTAAAAGATACCCTTCTGATCCCCTTCCTGTCTACACACACACACACACACACACACACACACACACACACACACACACACACACACACACACACACACACACACACACACACACACCCCCAATGAGGCAGTATGTCACGAACCAGATGGTCATTGAGGCAGGCAGGGAAATTGAAAAGAGTCCTGTCCACTTTCAAGACTCTTGTAAGCTCTACGGTTCTGTAAGTAGAACAGGGCTTAACTAGAAAGGGCTTATGGGTCAGAAGGGCTGGCAGCTCTATATGCCCAGTTCACTCATCCTAAAGAGAACTGGAAAGTAACCTGCAAAGAACTCCAATGTCCCTTCACAGATGACCTCAATCCCAAGGACACAAGGCTCATCCATTTCAAAACTGCAAAGAAGCTTCATTGTTTGACATTGGCAGGGCTCTACTAAACCTTAGTCATGGCAAAGAATTATAAGTGGACCAAAAAGGGAGAAATGGCTAACTTTTCACATCAGGGCTCAGCTTCACTTTCTTCACACACTCAGGCTTAACCTCTAGTTCCATGAGTGTACCACCCCAGAACCATCCCTTAAGTTCACCAGCCTACACCAATGCTTACTCTTCCCGATAGGAGGAGTTTCCCCCAGCCTGTATTCACTGACCAGGGCACAGCCTGTGTTTTAGCGAAACATAGGAGCAGAGGGCATGCCTTCCACTTGGCCTGGCTCAGCCTCAAAGCCAACTTGTTTGGGAATCAGGACTGAGATCAGGTCAGGTGGCTCAGAAGATGAATTTGTGAGCAAGTCTTTCGTCCACATAACCCTGTTGATCTAAAGGCTGTTTAAAAATGTGGGCAGACTAATTGGGCAGATTGGATGGCCCTGTTAGATAAAAGCTTTGATAATAGTCTTCCAACATCAGGCCAGGTGTGGTGACACATACCTGTAATCCCAGCCATCAGGGGGCAGAGGCAGGAGGATGGTGAGTTCCAGCCCAGCCAGGGCTACATGGAAACCCCTATTTCAAAAACAAAACAAACAAAAACAGGGTTGTCGATAGAGTGCTTGCCTGGCATGTTCAAGTTCCTGGGTTGGATCCCTAGCACTGAGAAAAAAAAAAAAAAGTAAATAAATTAAAAGTAAAAAAATAGTCTTCCAACATCAGGAAAGAAAGGATGAGTAATTTAATAAATAGTGCTAGGATGAGGGTAAAATACATTCTTATCCCCCAAAAGTCAAACTTATAAATTTATTACAGATTAATAAAGTATTTTTAAGTTTTATAAGCAAAAAGAATATAAAAATGAATTTTTATTAAATCTCTAGGGGCAGAAAGACTTTCTAAGCTTAAAATGATTTAAGAAGTTGTAGGGTGACTAGTGAAGTAGCTCTCAAGTTGTAAAAATGCCTGCCTACTAGCAAGTGTGAGGCCCTGAGTTCAATCCCCAGTGTAGCCAAAAAAAAAAAAAGAGAAAAACATTTTTGGTAATTAAAACAAATGAATTAATATTTGTTTTCTGAGATTGGGCAGGTTCAGTTTGGTATGGCTATAGATTTAATATTTCTTTACTACAAAGAGCTCTGTCTTTATTAACATGGATGTTCCTGGTCAGGGGTGTTCAGAGGACATAAGGCTACCTAGCAGACAGAAGGAGGAAACACATGAGAAACAGCCTCCTGCTACCATGTGTAACAGTAAACTAACAAAGAGTTAAGGGGAGTAGGTAATGTGAACATCCAGCCATGGGGTGGCCAGAGAAGGGTGTAGACTGCAGTCATTAGAAATGTTAGGTAGTACGTGACAACATGACAAATATGAACGGTAAATTCAATTTTAAAAATGGTACAGGGGCTGGAGACATGGCTAAAGTAGAAGCGCACTTACCTAGCAACCTCGAAGCCCTGTGTTTACTCCCCAGCACTGCCTAAACAAAACAAAACAAAACAAAAAAACAGGATATGGAACTATAAAAATAAGTATAATTTCCCGTGGTTAAAAAAAATTATGGCTGGGCATGGTGGCTTCTAGCTACTCAGAAGGTAAAGATCAAGAAGATTTTGGTTCAAGGCAGCCTGGGCAGAAAGTTCTAGCGACCCCATCTCAACCAATGAAAGCTGTGCATGGTGATACATGCCTGTCATCCCAGTTATTTCAGAAGCATAAATAGGAGAATCGGGTCTAGGCCATCTCAGGCATAAATGCAAAACCCTATAATAACCAAAGCAAAATGCCTGGGGACTTGGCTTAAGTGGTAGAGTGCCTGCCTAGTAAGTGCAGGGACTGGAAGTCAAACCCCAGTATCACCAAAAAGAAAAAAGGCAAGTCAATGAATGAGTAGGAAAAAGAAAAGACTAGAAGGAAAAGACCTAAAATGTTAGTTGTAGTTGGGTTTAAGTGGTGGAACTTTGGATTAATTTCTTTTTTACTTTTCTTCTTTGCTCTATCTTAATATTTTTTTCAAAATTTTATTTAATGATATTACTGGATGATAAGATAAATTTTTTTTTTATGGTGGGACTGGGGTTTGAACTCAGTGCTTCATGCTTGCAAAGCAGGTGCTGTACTGCTTGTACCACACCTTCAGTCCATTTTACTTTGGTTATTTTTAATCTTCTCTTTTTTATTATTTTATATAACTTCATTGCATGTATACCTATGCATATGCATAAATTTATTTGACTCCATAGTACATTGTTTGTTTTTAGCTTATCTCCCTCCATCTCTCCCTTTCCTCTGTTCACTGTTTGTCACTCTCACCCTGTGAGACAGGGTCCTTGCAGGAAATAGATGGCACATTCATACATAGTATTCAGAGGGATAGTAGCTAGGATTAAAAGTATGAGCCACTGGAGCCCAGCATAAATGTTCTTTATGAAAACAAAGTAAAAACCTTTTCCTCTAAGGTTAGGAACAAGGTAAGGATGCCAGCTTTTGCCACTTTTTTTTTTTTTTTTTTTTTGCGGTACTGCAGCTTGAACTTAGGACAAGCATAAGGCCCTGAGTTCAAACCCCAGTACCACCAAAAATAAAAAGTAAAAATTAAGGTTCTGTGAAAAAAAATATTAAAACAAAAATAAAAAGCTTCCATGTATCAAAAGATACTCTCAAGGACTGGTGTAGTGGCTCAAGCAGTAGACTGCCTGCCTAGCAAGCATGAGGCCCTGAATTCAAACCCCAGTACTGCAGGGGAAGAAAAAAAAAAAAAAAGATACTCTCAAGAGTGGGAAAAAACACAGAATGGGAGAAAATATTTGCAAATCTTATATCTGAAAAGGGATTAATATCATAGAAGGAATTTTCAGATGACGTTTTCCATTTGGGAAAAAGATGCCTATACTGCCCACATCTCCTGTAACTGGGAATTAGAATGTACATCTATAATTGACCCAAGTAAACCATTTAATGTGAAAGTAATTGCAATGAAGTTGATCCTATTGTTCTGACACTAGTTCTGAGGGCTGGAATTCTTCAAATGACTTCTCTTGCTAATGCTCTTCTTTTTCTATTTAGGATTCCACCAGTATAGTGGCTGCACTTTTCATAGACTTCAGAAGCTCATTGCTTCCTCATCTCCCAGTTCAGTTCCATGGATCAAGCAATTTTCTGATGATTGCCCTTTTCCCCAAATCAAAAATATATCAAGCATTTTACTCTGAGGTAACATCAGTCATTCAGTAAAATAACTTATGTTTTTTTTTTCTCTTAGAAATTTAAATGGTAAGATAGTGTCTCAGAGCTAACAGTGGGTAATTAGAGCAAGAGATGGGGGACTGCTTTAATAATCCCCTTGGGTTCTAAAATGCTTTTTCCATTGAGGTGTGCAAAGCCTAAAGAAATTTTTTAAATTTTGAAAAAGCTACATGCTGGTGGCTCACATCTGTAATGCTAGCTACTGAAAGGCTGAGATCAGGAGGATCATAGTTCAAGACCAGCCTGGGCAAATAGTTTGTGAGACCCCCATCTCACAGAGCAAAATGGACTGGAGGTGTGGCTCAAGTGGTAGAGCACTTGCTTTGTAAGCATGAAGCCCTGAGTTCAAACCCTAGTTCTAGCCAAAAAAACAAACAAAAATTTAAAAAAAAAAATGCTTTTTAGCTTTTGAGAAAGATCTACTTTGTCCCCTGTAAATCCTGATTAGATTTATTTCTCTTTTAGCTATTTTAATGAATTATGGACTCTCCCTACTGGACTAGAGCTCTCTACCCTACCTCTTTCTCTCCTTCCTTACTGGTCACAGTCTCTGCCCTTATGAATGGTCCCACCTGGAAGGATGCTTACTATAGGTACTCACTATAGGCACAGATTACACGAGGAAGGGAACTTACCAAGAATTATATGACCCACTTAGAGTCAAAGCAGTAGCCAAAGTCAAACTGATGATCGGCCTCATGATTGGTCAAAATTCTTGGAATGGTATGACTGCAGCAACTTGAGAGGGGACAGTTTTCTCTCGGGAAAGATTTGTAAGATGTGAAGAACAAGAGTTGACTTCAGCTGCAGAGTGGCTTCTGAGCCCAGTCTGTGGCTTCCTCTTACTGCCTACTGGGCCTTTCTACCTGCTTGTGTTTGCCCTTTCAATCTGGGAACCTAGAGACAGCCTTTTAGAATCTTCTTCCCCCTATGCCTCTAGGGGGAGCTACTTGTACTGCTGCTGTCTGGCCCTGTTCCCAGGATGACCTTGCTGCCAGAACACTGTTACCTGACACCTTCCTCCAGGCCTCCTGACCTCTGGAAGAACAGAGTCCCTAAGGAGAGTAACCCTGAAAGACATTTCTGACTCTGAAGAATACAGAACAGCATTGCTTCAGTCCTTATTTTTGAAGCAAACTTGTTTGTTGCAATGGTTTTTCTCTGTACTGACAGTCTAGATTTTCAACGACCATCGAATCCCCATGTGGATTCCATATCCTGTTGTTGGGTTTAAAGTGTTCTTTGCTCAGATTGCTCAAATTCTGTTTTGTTTAGGTCTTCTCCCCCTGGCAACAGCAGGATACCTTGGGGCTCTCTTTAAAAGTGATCCAGGAAGATGGATTATCTGTGGAACAAAAGAAATTGTAAGTGACTGCCTTCTGTGTTTGTGCTTGATTCCCTAAGTCTTGTGGGTGTTCGCTCTCTGCAGGACAACTCGCATTATGTAACACAGGGGTCTTAGCTTCTGAAATGTTCCAACAGTTGTTTCAGTGCTGCCAATTTGCAGGTAGCCTGTACTCTTGAGAAATAGAAGTCAAGAGAGATGAAATCCACTGAGAATCAGAGACTGGCATCAGTGTCAAGGGCTTTCAGACCAACCTTCCTATGCAGACATGCCAGTCTTCATGCATTGACACCATATTTTGTTTAAGTCAGTGGAGATGCTTGTTTTGGAAGTATTGACTCTGTCACAGGACTCTGGTTTGAAAGCCTCATACGCAATTGTGTAAAGTACATGTGCTCTTGGGAGGTAGAATTCTAATCTGTGAGCTTTTGATATTCTAGGCACTCCAGTGCACAGAAACTTTTTGGTGCCCTGAGCCATCCTGCTGGGGAGAAGTGGAGTTCGCTAAAGCTGCTGTCAGCCAAACTTCCAGAGCTGGAGTGGTGAGCTCTGGGTGTCTGATTTTAGATGTTTAATGTTCTAGCCTTTGAAATATCAGAAACGCCAGTGTTGGTACTTTCTAAATTCCTTTTTCTTGATAGCTTCTTAGGAATCCTTGTAAAGTAATGATGAATCATATATAATTTTATTCTCTAAAGAGAATATCCTTAAGACTTATTCCTTATTTTTTAGCAACTAAGTAAGAGGTTGCTTACATGAGTGGGCACATCAGGCAAGGCTGGTGATGGTAACATAATAGCACCATTTTTGTTTTTCCAGGTTTCTTCAGCATTTCACTGTCAGCAGCATTAGCCGAGAGCCTGTGATGCGGACCCATCTTCCAGTCCTGCTGCAGCAAGCTGAAATCAGCCCTACTCGGAGAGTAGAAAATAACAAGGTAGAGAAGCTCACCAAATATGCTGGGAATTCACAGGAGGATAATCCTGCAAGCCTGCCCTTGTATCTTTTGTGTCAGTTAACAAAAGGAGTTCAGATGGAGTCCCTTTTATAAGACTCTCCACCTCTTTGATTGCTGATGTAATGATACACATGAAACCTGCTTTGTACAATGACTGTCAAGCCAGGCCCCATAACAGTGATAGACCCTGGCATCTTACCATGCCCTTCCCTTAGTTCTTCACGTTTTTTAAACTCTGTGTGTTTTCATGCTGTCAACTTTCTGGTTGTGACAAGGACCTTGCAGTGGACACATTGTGCTTAATAAGGGGGAAGGTGCCCATTTACACTGGCCTGGCTGTAATCACCAGGGTAATGTGATACTTTATAAATAATGTCCTCCCAATAGTGGATTTTAATACATTCCCATCCCATGCTTGCCTCCACTTGACCCCCTCCTGCCATTCCTTTGGGAGCCATATGTTGTAATAGACTCAAAGAAGGCATTTATTTCTGTGCAAATCTAGAAGACACTCAACTACAAATGAAAATAGCACTAAAATAGCACTTGAAATTGCTATTTTCCCCCCTTTGGTAAGAATGTAAAAAGCTTAAAAATGCCTACTTGTTATGTTTTACTAAAAAGGTGTTACAGGACTGGCCTTAAAGTAAGAAGGTGTCTGTCTGTACACATCTGTGCCAAGACCTGGTCACTGAGGAATGAGAAGCAAGATGGGGAAAGCTAATTGGGAAGAGCATAAATAATATGTCAGTTACATGGAGTACTGCCCAGCCCAAAAAGAGATACAGTGTTAAGAGGCCCTGGTTAGAGGGGAGGAAGGAGAGCTGTGGGTTCTCATAAAAGAAGAGGGATTCATAACTATCTTTGTGCTGATATGATCAGCCTGGAGGATGAGTGCCTCCAGGCCTCGCTTTAGTGTAAGTTATCTATGACTGGGCCTAAAACATGTACCTAGAGGGGATTTTGCCATGCTTTGTCATTTCATAGACATCCTCCAGCATTGCATGGTTCTTGTCCTCTGCTTGACCCTTTTCAGTGAATTTTCTTCTTATTAATTGATTGGTGGTGCTTAGAATCAAACCCAGGGCCTTGCTCATCTAGTAGACAAGAACTCTGCCATTGGCCTACATTCCCAGTCCTCTGAATTTTTTTTTTTTTTTTTTGGTGGTACTAGAGCTTGAACTCAAGGCCTACAACATAATCCACTCCACCAGTCCTTTCTTGTGATGAGTTTTTTTGAGATAGGGTCTCTTAAACTACTTGCCTGGGCTAACTTCAAACCATGATCTTCCTGATCTCTGCCTCCTGAGTAGTGAGGATTACAAGCGTGAGCCACTGGCGCCTGACTGAATTTCCTAAATAGCATTGGGATTTCCACCTGACATGGTGTATTTTTGTATGGTCATGTAATGAGGTTAGGACAGTCCAGCTGCTGATTTCTCTTCTCCTCCTTGGGAATCAGCAGTATTTCCCATGCCCTGTGAGTTTCCACTCAGCCCAGGCCATGTGGCTTAGAGGGCATGGGTAGCCAGAAAGAATCATCCCCAGTGCATGTCCTTGCCTCCACCAGGTTTGCCACACTGGTGTAGCCCAGGGCATTTTTGTCCCAGACCTTCTTTCAGGCCAGTATTTTCCTAAGAAGTGTTATTATTGTAAATAAATTATGATATCCCTGAATGTCCACTTAAGAAGTTTGTCAAACAGGTAGTCTATTTAATGCATGCACTTTAACTGATACATTCACTATCTGCTCTGCAAAAATTAGAACAGTAAACCTACATTTTATATGGTATTTGTTTTGTGCCAGGCACTGTTCTAAGCACTTTACATAAGTTAACTCTGTTAATCCTCACACTACCCTATAAAGTAGGTTTGGTCTTTGGCCCAAAGTCACAGAGCTAGTGAGTGGTGGTGCTGAGGGTCAAACCCACAGAGCCAGGCTCCAAAAGTCAGTTCTCTTAACCTTTTACACAGTGCTGCCACTCGACTGAATTTCAGACTCACATGGCTTTTCTTTCATGTAGGTAATTATCAGCATTGTGACTGGCCTCCCAGGCTGTCATGCTAGTGAGCTCTGTGCTTTTCTGGTCACCCTGCATAAGGAGTATGGCAGGTTAGTATGGCCACTGCCTTTGCTTTGGGGAAAGGGATTGTATGTTTGGGCCTGCCTAGGCACAGAGAGACCTTAGATGTGTACTGGTCTTTGGAGCAACTGGGATTGGCATGGTAGTCTCCCATCCATCTTTCATTTAACACACTATGCTGAGTGCTTCCCGTATGCTAGGCATTGCTCTGAGTGTCAGGGAGTACATCAGTGAACAAAATAGACAAGAAAATCTTTGTTCTTGTGGAGCTTACATTATGCTTTGGGAAAACAAATAATTAAGCAAATAAGGAAGACATAGCATATTAGCTAGTGAAAAAATATTATGGAGAAAATAAAGCAGAAAAGGGTATAGGAAATGCAGACCGAGAGTGGGATGCCAGTTTAAAATTGAGTGGTGAGAGATGATCTTCATAAGAAGATGCCATTAGAGCAAAGACCTGAAGAAATAAGGGAATAAACCATGTGATATCCAGCAGAGAACATTGTAGCAGCAGGACAAGTAACTATAAAGGCCTGGAAGTGTGCCTGATCAGCAGGGAAAGTCATGGCCATCGTGGTTTTAAGAACATGGGAGCTGGAGGTAGTGAGCCTTCCATGACCACAGAAGGAGTGTTTTGAGTCTAAGCACAGCTGGAACATGCTAGCTCAGGTGAAATTGGGAAAATCATTTACCTGTCACTTTACCTGGCTGACAGATTACTAATCAACCCTTGCTGAGTGAGCCAGACATTTAATATCTAGTCAGTTTACTCTGAAATAAGACATCCTGGAGGATGCTGTAAAGAAACTGAAAAGACTGAAATCATATGGGGAGTTGGGGGTTTAGGGTTGGTTGTGGAGATGGGAAGTGCATTTTGGGAGAAATGTAGGGTAACATTGAGCCTCTTTTAATAAGTACTTAATGGCTAACAAAAGCATATTTAGTGCTTTTGTTTCTATAAACATTCTGAATTGTTTACCTTGCCTCCTTTTTGTTAGCAAAAGGTTCACTGAGTACCAGATTGAAGCCTTTTTTTTTTTTTTTTGGTGATGATACTGGGGTTTGAACTCAGGTCTTCACACTTGCAAGGCTCTGTATCACTTGAGCCACACCTCCAATCCTTGCACAGAAGCCATTTTATTGCATGGTCAAGAGTCTTGTCTCACTTCTGAAGCCTGTTAGTTATAGGGCTGGCAGAGTGGCTCAAGTGAAGCCTGTTAGTTACATGCTTTGCTCTCCTTTTTCCCTGTGGCAAGGGGTTTCCTGTCAAAAGCCCCAGTGAGAGTGGTTTCAGGATACTGCCAGCCATAGCCAGTGCCCTCTGCCTTGTTTTGTTTTTGTTTTTGTTTTTTTGCTATGCCAGAATTGCTTTCTCTTGTACAGAGTCAGTGGGCAGAAGGGCAGAATGTCTTTAGGTCTTTAGGAGTTTTGGTCACATTTGAATCTATGGCTAAGCCCACAGGACCAGATTATTGTTTGGTCCTGTGCTGAGGTTACCGTTGCCATTTCCAGGTGGATGGTGTACCGTCAAATCATGGACAGCTCTGAATGTTTTCATGCTGCCCACTTCCAGAAATACCTTTCCAGTGCTCTGGAGGCCCAACAGAACCTCTCTGCCCGCCAGTCAGCCTACATCCACAAGAAGACCAGGTTGCTGGTGGTGTTACAAGGGTGAGCATTGAAAATCTTGGGACCATCAAGTGGGGTTGGTGATCTTGCCATTATTGTTAGTTCATGTATAGCAAAGCTGGGGCACACAACAAACACCACATGTGCCTGAGCAGTTTCTATGCTACACAGAGAGGCCTTGACCTAGCAAGGATCCTGTTCCCATACTGTGGCCAATAGTGTAGCTCATTCACAAGTTTCAAGTTTGGCTCCAACACCATAACATCCCTAGAGTTGAGGAATTTGAGAATCTAGTCAAAGTTCTCTGATAATTCTTGAAATAATAATTTTTATCTCTAAGCCTCTTCCTTCACCATCTAGACAAGGGGAGTCTCATCTGTTTCATTCCTCCTATGGAACTACAGAGGTGGTCCCCATACTTTGAAGTCTCCCTTATTCTCCATCCCCTTTATTCTTAGGATAGAGAGTTTCCTGGGACTCTCAGTGAGGAGCATACATAGTCCAGTTGGAGTGCTGAACTGTGCTCCAAGACCCCCTAGCTCCCGAAAGTAACCAGCGTGATCATGTGAGCATGCAACACCAGAGGGAAGATTTGACAGTGTGTGTACCAGTGCACTAGGGGACCCTGGCTTAAAGAAGACTCCCTTGACCTGTTCTCAGACTTTCCTGGGAGGATCCCCTCACGGTCCATCATCACCTGGGCCCAGAATGGAATGTGCTAGGTCAGGAAAACACAGGTTATGCTTTTCACTATTATTGTTATGGGTAGTAATAAAGATGCTTTTGGTGATTCTCACAAAGTGCTTTTGTCTGTACCACATTTTTTGTGTTCATAATAATTAGTGTGTACAATAGGCTAGTTGTTTCCAATAAGGAGAGGGCCTGGATCCAAAGGCCTGTTTGGACTTCTGGCTGTGATGATGAGAATTGGAGGGAGCCAGGAAGGTGGTCCTGAGAAAGAATGCAGGTGGGACTGTGTACCCTTGGGGTCTTCGTGCATGGACAGTCCTTGTTCTTACATCCCATCTCCAGCTTCCCTTCCATCAGCCCTCTTATCCCACTGTGGGCTCAGGTCATGGAAGCTACAGAAAAAGAGTCTGACTTTGAAACCACTTATTTTCTTCAAGTTTTCCATCACTTTTACTGGTCCAAGGAATGGGTCGGTCAACACAACTGCATCACCTCCTGTCTTTGCCAGAGTTGAGAGTCACTGGGAGTGTGGACCTAGAGGGGAATTTGGCAGCTTGCAATTATTTCCATCCTCCATTTCAAAGCATTGTTGGCTCCTTTGACTTTACAGGTCTGCAAAGTGTCAGCTGTTCTGGCTGTTTCTGGTCTGCAGTGACAGTGTATAATAACCACTCTTATAGTGCAGGCTCAGCCTTTGCTCAGTCACAGCCCTAGCATGCAAGGGACCCCAATAGATTTCCTGAAGGATCAAGCATGAATACCAGCTAAATGTTATTACTTTTCCCCAGGGCACTGTCCATACCAACTAGGCATATTTTCTAGAGGTTTAACAGGGAACATGTTGCAATGTCTTACCTGCTTGGTGCTGGACTTTCATGCCCATTATTAAGGTTGTTGGTAAAGGAAAATCCCAGAAGCTTCTAAAATTGAAAATTTTCTTTCTTTTTTTTGGAGGGGTTAGTTTAGGTGTAGTGTTGGAGGTTAAAACAGGGTATTACTATATAGCCCAGGATGACCTCAAACTCATAGCCTTGCTGGAAGAGTAGCTCAAATCGTAGAGTGCCTGCTTAGCAAGTGTGAGGCCCTAAGTTCAAACACCAGTACTGCCAAAAAAAAAAAAGACTCATAGCCTTAACCTGTAGAGTGCTGGGATTAAGTTGTACAACCACTGTGTTTAGCTTTGAACGTAGCTTTTATTTTCAACACATTCCCCATCTCCAAAATAAATAGAACAAAATGGACTGGAGGTATGTCTCAAGCAACAGAGTGCCCTCTTTCCAAATGCAAACCCCTGAGTTCAAACCCTAGTCTCACCATTCCCCCCTCAAAAAAAAAAAAACAACAAAAAACCAACCCTAGAGCAGAGTTTTCTTTAGTTCCCAGAGTTGCCTTGTTCCATTTAGCTTAGTGCAGTGGAGGCAGTGGTGTTGGACTTTGACAACACGGTGGTGTTGAACTTTTGAGCCCTTGTTTCAAAACTTGAATAAATGTGTTTTTTAAAAATCTTAGACATCAGATTAGTGGTTGCCAAAGTTGGGGGTTGGGGAGGAAGGTAGGGAGGTAGAAGTGATTATAAAAGGACAAGATAAGGGATCCTTATGGTGTTGAAACGGTTTAGCATCTTGACTGTGGTGGTAGATATAGGAACCTACAAAGATTCTAAAATTGTGGAGAAAATTGTATAGAATGAAATACAAATACACAGAATATGAGTAAAACTGGGGAAGTCTGAATTTTAAAAAGTTAATTTTAAGGAATTTGAAGGCTGTACTTATTTATACTCTGCAGTGTTGTAAAGTCATTCTTTACAATTATCTAGATTAAAAACAAAGTAGCTCAAAAAATTGAATTAATGTAAAACGTGCCCAGTCACATTGTAAGCTTAACTCGCAAACATAAAACAGAACCCAGAGAATACTTGAATAGAATGTCTCTTCTTTCAGAGGAAGGAAAGTTAAAGTCCTGCTGGGTTTTTCTTTTGTTGTGTTGTGTTGTCATTTTTAATAAAGAGAATACTAACCACCAATAAGCCAAGATGAATAGCCAAGTTTTTGCCTTCACCATGCAGTTGGGTCAGGTTAGCCAAAGTGATCTGGTGCCAGGCTCTGACAGCTTGAACACCAGACTGCCTTCATCTCCCTTCTGTTTCCTTCTGTGGTAAGGGCTCCTTTTCTAGTCTGGAAGCCACTCCCAGGAGGATTGTGGGACAGGGGCTGATGGCGTAGGGAAGGAGGTTCCAGCAGGGTTCCCTTAATGAGTACTTTCTCTCTTGGAGCAGTGCCCAGATTCACAGGCCTCACCAAGGAACCTGGGGCCAGTTTTTCACACTTAACCTTCTCTGTTGAAATCAGTGAAGATTAATGGAATGCTCTGAAAAAGTATGGATTCCCAACCTCCCTCTATAAGAGAAATCCTATTGTATTAAAGTGACTGAAATCCTCAAGATTAAGGAGTCTCTATAGCTTATACTGAACTTGGAAAAGAAATGCCTCAAAGCACTTATTTTAGAAGAGGGGAAAAGTTAATGCATAAGAATAAGGCTGGTACATTTAACCATGAGAGTTAAATCCATTTGACATTCCCACAAAGTACTTCAGGGGAGTATGCAAGCATCAGTCCTGCTTACTAAGTGTGCTGGGTGGCCTGTAAGTGTGCAGCAGTCCTAGCATCCAGGCCCACCCAAGCACTGCAGTAGAAAGATCCTCACATGGCCATAGGCACACATGCCCAGGCAACAGGTGAAGCCAGTGAACAGAAAGCTTGTTCTGAAGGCACTCCAGGAGCCAGGCCCCTCTGAGGGTGCTCTAAGACTTAACCTCTACTGAAGCTCTGCTGGTTAGGCAGCAGGACTGAGGCCAGGCCTGGATGGGGGTATAATCTGGAATAAAGCCAAGGCCCTTTTTATAAATGAGTTGTTTGTAGAAATTCAGGGAATAGCTTCAGCAAACTCTCCCTGCCACCACCACCACCCCTGCCTCCCCACCACCACAACCCCATATAACTAGGCAGATGCTGGCCCATCTGATTCATAAGGCTGCCCATCAGGTTTGACTTCCTTCCATAGGAACAGATCTTTTGGTGATAGTCTGGGTCAGTCGGGACAGTGTTCTCCTCTGCAAGGTAAAGAGGGCAGGTCTCTCTTGAAGTATCCCAGGGTCTGCTGGGGGTCAAATGTCCAGTTCATTCATCTATGCTGCTTTAAGCACCAGACATTATAGCAGTCAACAACCACCTTACATTTTAGAGACAGTAAACGAATAAATGAGAAAGAACAGCGATGCAAAAAAGAAGCTGGGTACTAATGGCTTACACCTGTAATCCTAGCTACTCAGGAGGCAAAGATCTGAAGGATTGTGGTTCAAAGCCAGCCAGAACAAATAGTTCGAGAGATCCTATCTCAAAAAAAAAAAAAAACAGAAACAGGGTTGTAAGAGTGGCTTAAGTGGTACAGCACCTGCCTGGTTAGCATGAGGCCCTGAGTTTAAGCCCCAGTAGTCCCAAAAACAAATAAACAAAAAAAACAGAAAAAGAAAATAAAGTTAAAAAAAAAAAAATAGAAATAACAAAATAAAAAAGATAGTGACCAGTGATTTGGAGAAAAATTGAAGGGAAGGAGCAGATATTCCCAAAAGAGCAGGTTGCTATAATACAGAGGGTGTTTGAAGTCAAATGATGCCTCTCTCATAAGATCCACTTGACATAGCTCAGTGGCAGAGTACTTAACTAGCATGTGCAAGACTCTGAATATCTCTAGCACTACAACAACAATAATAAAATGCCACTTGAGCAGAGAGAGGGAAGGAAGGGAGTAAGACATGCAGATATCAAAGGAAAAGAGCATTCCAGGCAGAGCATACAAAGGTGAAGTATGCCTGGCATGTTCAGGGAAGAGCCAGGAGGCCAAAGTGATTGGATTAAGGGAAGGGACAGAGTAGTTGATGAAATTCTTCCCTACACTGGGGAACTGGCAGTGGAGGGGGGTAGGGGGGGCAGGGCAGGAGGGGGAATCAAATCATAAAGTGCCATCTGGCCCATTATAAGATCTTTGGCTTTCACAGTGAGATGAAAGCTACTAAAGGGTTTTGAGTAGAGCCAATGACATGATCTGGCTGTTGGTTTAGTATATCCCCCTGACTTTGGTATTGAGAACAGATTGGAGAAAGGCAAGGACAGAAGTGAGATGGGGGCAGCTGATAGGCAAGAGACTGTAGCAGTTTGGAAGTTTGGACCCAGTATGAGGATAGGTGTGTGAGCAGTGATCTCTTTTAGTTGTATGTTGAAGACAAACTAAAAATGGAATCAAAGAATATTCCAAACAAATCTTTTGACCTTACATCTGAGAGAGTAGCATCCTTTCTGCTAAGAAGAGCAAGATCTTGGGAGATTGGACCACAAACATTAGCTTCTAAGTGAAGATATCAAATTGGTTCTGTAAGTCTGGAGTCTGGAGAAATTTCTAGGCAAGAGATGGGAATTTGAGTTGTATTTGACTTGTGTCTGCTGACCTGAACAAGTCTGATGAGCTTATGAAGTAGGAAGGAAAAGTAAGAACTACTAAAGAAAGTAGACACTGCCAGGATCTGCTAACTTAATGATTAGAAAACAGGTCCAAGGATACTGAGTCTTACCCTCAGAGCCCCAGGTCACCTGAAGGTTTCCTTTTACTTCCAGAGTGGAGCAGCTTTTCAATTCTTTATATGTACATAAGTTTTTTATTAAGATGTATTTGTTATACAGGGGGGATTCATAGTGACAGTCCAATTAAGGTTATATTATACATTGGTTAGATCACCCCCTTCTACCCACTCTTGCAGTTATGAGGACTAATAGAACTTGGGAATGGAGAACACTTTGTGGATTCCAGGGGCTCGAAAATCATAAAGTAGGGTGACAATAAGGAGCCCCATCACAAACTCCTTTTTGTCTCCCTTCTGCCCTTCCTTGCTCAGCCACTCACCATTTCTCTCTCCCCCATTCTGCAGTACCAACCAGTAAGCTAATCATTCCTTTTTTTCCCCTCAGCTATACAGATGTTATTGATGTTGTCCAGGCCCTGCAGACTCACCCAGACTCAAATGTCAAGTCCTCCTTCACCATTGGTGCTGTCACGGTGTGTGTGGAGCCCCTGAGCTGTTACATGGAGCACAGGTAGATATTTATGACCACCTCCAACCCATAGAAAATAATGTGTTTAAATGTTCTAAAAGTGACTTTTTTCCCAACCACCAGAATAACACACATCTTTATGTATGCCCGACTTTTAAGACACATCAGTCTACCTTGTATATAGTAAGTGATCCATTATTCTTTGATTGGTACTGGGTCCTTGCAAGACCCAAAGCCAAAGAGAAAAGAGCAATTATAGAATATAGACTGTTGTGAGGACAGGAACCATGTCATTTTGATGTTTAATACATAGCAAGTGCTTATGAAATATCTTTTAAGGGCTATGAATGTATTTCAGTGGTTGAGTGCTTGCCTACATACATGCATGTGTTTGATTCTCAGCACTACAAAAAAAAAAAAAGACTAGAAGGTTATTAAACTTAAACCCATCCATTAAAAAATTTAAGGAGTTAGGGGTGTAGCTCAGAGGTGTTACAGCTTAATAGTAGAGCATGTACTTAGCATGTATGAAGCCCTGGGTTCAATCCCCAACACTAAAAAAAAAAAAAAGAAAAGAAACTCGGGTTAATTAATTCCATAAATCATAAAAAGGAAAATATACTTACATGGCCAACTTTTGGTAGATTAAAAATGTGGCCACAGCAAAGCAGCCCTTTCCATCAGGAACTAAAGAGTTGCTCTCTGCTTCCTGCTTCTATCTGGTTCACCTGAAAAAAAGAACTGAAAAGTTGAATTTGGGTTTGGCCAATGGGACATTAATATTGCATGAAAGGAGCAGAGACTTGAGAAGCATTTGCACATTGGCATTTTCCCTCTCTTGCTCCTGGTGCTGAAACCACTAAGTGAATAGGCCTGACCTAGGCTACCGGAGGATGAGAGGCCATGTGGAGAGAGGACCCAGTCATCCCACCCCTGCCATCTGGGTTGAGGCCTGAGAGTGAGACTGTCGTAGACACCACCCCCAGCTAAACTGCTCCAGGCAAAGGCAACTGCCCAGCCAATCCAATTCTGTTCTGCCCAGTAGAATCATAAGAAATAAATGGTAATTATTTTAAGCCACTTAGCTTTGGGATGATTTATTACACAGCAACAATGTGGGAAAATCGATATATGTTGATAGGAATGTAAAATCATTAATCTCTTTGGAGACAAATTTGACTTTCGTTGTTAGAAATTTGCATCATACAGTTATGTTTGTACAAATATGCAAAGATATTCAAAAATAAAGACAAAAAAAATTAAAAAAACCCCAAAGATACAGACACTCATTTTTGTTTCAGGGGAAAGTTTTCTAATTCCAAATCTACTCCAGAATGTGTAAATCTAAAGGAACTATTTAAAAGGCATTATATAGTTTGCAGATTCTCCAAGAGAGCCAGAGTCAGGCTGCAGTATTGGCTAGATAGTCAGGAGCGACACTCAAACTTCCTGTGGGGCTCTCTAAAGGGGATGTCTCCACTACTTCCTTCACCAGAAATGGAGTCTGCTTACTCATCTTGCTCACTGCCAGTTGGAATCTTGTGGTACATCCAGTTGGTTGAACTTGCATGCACCAGACTGCAAGGAAGGCTGGAAAAGAAATTTCCTGCCCTTTATAAAGAGAGGTAGAATTCCTACCAAGCTGAGGCAAGGTAGGAATTCTACCTCTCTTTTGTAGATGTGCTCTGCAATAGTCACAATTTTGCTGTTTACATAATGAGAACCTCAAATAATACTATTGCTTTGTGTGTGTGTGTGTGTGTGTGTGTGTGTGTGTGTGTGTGTGTGTTTGTGACTCGGGTTTGAGCTCAGGGCTTTGTGCTTGCAAAGCAGGTGCTATACCCCTTGAGTCACACTTACAGTCCCTTTTGTTCTGGTTATTTTTGGAGATGGGATTTCCAAACTATTGCTTGGGCTGGCCTCAAACTGTGATCCTCCCAATCTCAGCCTCCCAAGTAGCTAAGATTATAGGTGTTAGCCAGTGGTACCTGTCTCTGAATGCCTATTAATAAGAGACTTATTAAATTTTGAATATATATATATATATAATGGAATTGCTATGCAGACATTTAAAAGAAATTGAGTTGCTAGGCACTGTTGATGCAGGGGGATACACTGTGACATGTACATATGTGCTTACAATGTATCTTCTTTTTGGGCATTTCTGGGGCTTGAACTCAGGGCCTCATGCTTGCTAGGCAGGTGCACTACCACTTGAACCACTCCTCCAGCCATACCTTTGGTTATTATAAATAATACTTCTATGAACATTTGTGTGCAAGTTTTCATGTGGAAGTATGTTTTCTGTTCCCTTGGATATATACCTAAGGGGAATTATAGGGCCTTATGGAATTATTATGTTTAACTATTTGAGGAGCTGAGAACTACATTCCAAAGAAACTGTACTGTTTACATTACCACCAGCAGTGTATTAGGCTTCCAATTTCTCCACGTCCTTACCAACATTTTTTTTTGAGACAGGGTCTTACTATGTAGCCTAGGTTGGCATTAAGCTCATGATCATTATCTGTCTTTTGTTTTTTGGTGGGACTGGAGTTTGAGCTCAGGGCTTCATGCTTGCAAAGCAGGTGCTCTGTCATGTGAGCCATGCCTCTAGTCCTGTTTTGTCTGCTTTTTTTTTTTTAAGTTATCCTAGCATAAAGTAGTATCTCATTGTAGTCTTGATTTACATTTCCCTAGCGATAATGATGTTGAACATATTTTCATTTGCTTTTTGACCATTTGTGTGTCTTTGGAAAAATGCTCGAATCCTTTGTTGATTATTTTCTTTTGAGATAGGGTCTCACTATATAGCTCAGGCTGGCCTCAAACTCACTCCAGCCTCCAGCAGTGTTTTGTGTTTGGTTGGTTGTTTTGTATTTGGTTGGTACTGGGGTTTTTGAACTCAGGATCTCATGCTTGTTAGGCAGGAACTTCACCACTTGAGCCAATCTGCCAGCCCTCAGCAGTGTTTTATAGCTTTCAGTGTACAAGTCTTCTACTTCCTTTGTTTAATTTATTCCTTAGTATCTTACTCTTTTGATGTTACTGTAAATGGAATTTTTTTCTTTTTGTTTTTTTTGAGACAGAGTGTTCCTGTGTAGCCCAGGCTGACCTCAAACTCATAATCCTCCTGTCTCTGTCTCTCTAGTGCTGGGATTACAGGCTTACAACTTAATTTAATTTTTATATTTTTCATTGCTATTATATGGAAATATTTTGTGTGTTGATCTTATATCTTGCAACCTTGCAAAAGTCATGTATTATCATGTGCTAGGTTTTTTTTTTTTTTGTGGACTCCTTAGGATTTTCTGTATGCAAGAGTGTGTCATCTGCAAAAAGAGATGTTTTTACTTTTTCCTTTCCAATCTATATGTGCTTTTCTTTTTCTTACCCAGTAACTATGACTAAAACCTCCAGTATAATGTTGAGTGGAAATAGAAACAAAAGACATCCTTGTGTTCCTGATCAGAAGGGAAAGTATCCAGTCTTTTACCATTAAGTTTAATGTTACTTTTGTATTATATATTTTTTGGCGGGTGCTGGACATTGACCCATGCACATGCACATGCTGGGCAGAGCACTCAACCACTGAGCTGTACTCCAGCCCTGCATGACTTTTATAATAAGAAAAAGTCTTTTGAGAATTAAGTTTTTTCAAACTTGGTAACTCAATATATTGAATGGCTTTTTTTTTTTTTTTTTAGTGGCCACCTTAAGAAAGAGAAAATTTGTATCATTGCTTCTAGATATATTTTTGCAATAAAAAAGGGGGGGAGGTTAAAGTATAGTAAGGCTTGTATTTCCTTAGGTAATGTGAGGATTAGTGTGGCCTCTTTAACCTATGAGGTAGGTTCAGTTTGGATTCTGGATGGGTCATGCAAGATTCGCCTGTGATTAATTCTGGATTCATTTCAAATACCTTTAAGTGTTTCTTATCCATTCTAATCTTACCATTCTAGTCATTGAAAGTACAGCAAGGAACAAATCAAGAACCTGGGTTCTTGGAGTGTCCATGGTTTCATGGATATGCACATAAGAATTCTGGGAGCCCATGTTTTAGGATAGATTAAATCACTCATTATTTGTTGATTGACTAGAATTTTATATAAATTAGGTACTTTTGTACACTGCAGAATGCATGGTACTATACTATATGTGTGCAAGGGACTGGAATATATTATAATCACAGCTACTTGTGTTATTCAGAGTAAGATCTGGTCCCTAATAAGTGTATTATTTCTGTATGTTGGTATAGACTTGCCTGATATATTTAAGACTTCTGTGCCAGGTATTCTTCAATAATATTATAACTGCCGGGTGCCAGCAGCTCATGCCTATAATCCTAGCCACTCAGGAGGCAGAGATCAGGAGGATTGGGGTTCGAAGTCAGCCCAGGCAAATAATTTGCAAGACCCTATCTCAAAAAAGCCCATCACAAAAAAGGGCTGGTGGAGTGGCTCAATGTGTAGGCCCTGAGTTCAAGACCCAATGCTACAAAATAATAATAATAATAATATTGTAGCTTACTTAGAGAAGATAGTATGTAAGAAGGGTAAAAGCAAGCCAATATTTCTTTTGCCCTATTTGTCAGGTATATGTTGATCCTTTACCCCTTCTAATCATCAAAATTCCCCCTTAAGGTAAGTATTATTACAGTGTTTTACCAGAAAGGAGCTGATGCTCAAAAAAGTTAATTTTCCAAATGTCATACATGCACACAATCATGTATAGATAGTGCCATAATAAAAGATTAATGTAATGTAAGAATTATAAGGAAATAGCAATAGGTCCTAGTTGGATTAGGAAGAAAACCAATATATGAACTGGAAGGCCAGGGATACTACGGATGTGAGAAATAGCATTCCATTTTTAGGGAATTGTACATATGTGCAAGTCTATGTGTTCTAGATACTTTATCCCCAGCAGCTTAATGTCAGCAACTTAATGCCCCCATTTCCTTGTTAGAAGTTTAAAACATGAATGTCCAACCTGTGGTTGGATATGAGACCTTGAGAGGGAGGGAACTTCACTCAGCCTTGTCTGAGGTGCCTCTGATGTGAGTTACCATGGCTTGCTGCTGTGAGAAGGCAGCAGGACCCTGAGAAGAATCTTAAATTCTTGTACCCCAAAGTCATAGAAACTCAATTTGACATGAGCACCTTTTTTGATAGTACTAGGATTTGAACTCAGGGCCTTGTGCTTGTTAGGCAGGGATTCTATAGTCATGTCCTCAGTCCAGGCAGTTTCTGAAGAATGTATTTGCTGTGCAGCAGGCCACTGGGCTATAAGTACAATGAAGTCGGTGAGTTCTCTTCTCTGGATCCCCTGGCGTGGAGCTCTTCCCTTGTTTCAGGCCTCTTGATCTTGCTCATGGCTCACAGGGGTTACTCCTTGCATCTTCAAAACCAAGAGAACTGGATCCACAGCCCAAAGTGGTATTCATCCAGTTCACTCCTCTACCACATTTGGTTCTAAGTGGTGCGTGTCCAGCTGTTATTGGAAATCAAATGAAGGGATGAAGACAGGTCACCAGCAAGGAAACTCTGGAAGAGAAATTCTCCCAGAATTCAGAACAGTGTTAGTACCTGACAGTTAGACCAGTGACAGCTCAGAAGAGTGGTCTCCCCAAGCTACTCACTTGCTGGTGTAGAAACCCAGGAGCTCTGTGGAGCCAGACAATAATGGCTACCTAGTACTTCCCAGCTGCATGGCTGAGATTCTAGCTTGCACATGCGGCAGGTGTTTAGCCTGCCTAGCTATCCTAAAACCACTCTTCTTATCTGTTAAAATACCCAAGGCACAGGGTGGTCAGGATGGCAGAGCAGGAGTCTGTCCATGAACTGCTTGCCTGCTGCCTCACCCATACTAGGAGGTTGATAAACAGCAGCTACTATTATTAGTGTTAACTTGTTTTCCTGAGAGCAGCTTTGTATTGTTTTGAGAGGGTTTTTTTTTCTTTGTTTTCTTATTGACTTTTGAGATTTCTTTACATATTTTGGATGCAAATCCTTTTTTTTTTCAGTACTGGAGTTTGATGTTTAACTTCAGGGTCTCATACTTGCTAGGCAGGCACTTTACCTCTTGAGCCACTCTGTCAGCCCTTGTTTTGAGAGTTTTAAAACCCTATTAGAATATAAGTTTTTCCTCTGGAACTCACTGCAGTTAGTTGTTAGCTAACTTACACTTTGTATCAGCACCCCCTTGTCCTGCTTCACTTATGATCCAGTCAGTTTCTTGCTTCATTTACCATTGAATTTAAGAATAGTATAAGGCTGTTAGATGTAGCTCAGAGCTGAAGGGTTTGCCTGGCATGCATAAGGCTCTGGGTTCAATTCCCAGCACTGCAAAGAAACAACAATAATAAAAAGAATAGAATTAAAGGAATACTGAGATTCTAGCTTGTACATTAAAAAAAGCATAGCAGTTTTGGTCCTAAAGGTCCCTAGGAGAGTTAGGTGAATTGTAATTTGTCTCATTTTCCCTTCTACTTAAAACAGTGTCCTTTTTTCTAAAAAGGCTAGCATGGCTGGGAACATAGTTCAGTGGTAGAATGCCTGTTTAGCATGCATGAGGCCTTGGGTTCGATTCCCAACATAGTTAATAAAAGCAAACAAGCAAAAATAAATAAATAAAATAAAATAGCTTTTTTCCTCCATTTCCTATAGTCTAAAGACCTAGTGCTGAGCTGGTGAAGTGGCTCAAGAGGTAGAGTGCCTGCCATGGATCCTGAGTTCAAGCCCCAGCACCACAAAAAAAAAAAGAGCTAAAGACCTGGTGCTGCTCCCAGTATCTTCTCTGCCACATTCTCCCTCCACTAAGAATAGGCCATGTAGGGACTTCTAAGGTGTGGGAGCTTTGGCACAACATTGTGAATGTCTTGAATAACCATGGCTATCTATAATACTCAGAACTACCTGCCTCATCAAATACGTCAACTTATATATCAGTGATACTTACGTTTTTGTGGGAAATAATCAATGACAACTCTGAGATGAATGGTTTTAAAATATTTTTCTTTTTTCTTCCTAGATTTCTCTTCCCTAAATGTCTTGACCAGTGTTCACAAGGTAAGCAGTATGCTTCATTTTCTGCTCACATGCCTTTCATATTCTGTACAGATGCAACAGATTTCTCTCCATTCTGCTACCATTCTGAAACCTAAAATCTAAAGCAAACAAAATTGATCCAGAGAAAACTTCGACAACTTTCTTTTTATCATATTTGGTAGATGTATTTCTTTCAAGAGCTTGTCTTTTAACGACAGTAAACTGCCATAGCAGCACTCCTGAATTCAAGTCTGCCCTGGCCTTGTTGTTAATGACAGTGGACTGTGTAGGTATTCCTAGCTTCTGGATCAACAAAATCTTGATGCATTTCTCCTGTTCCAGTAGTGCAGAGTTTGGCCCAAGAGGACCTTAATACCCCCCTGCACACACTGGAATTTTCCACACCTCCTTGAATACATTTAGAAAAATTCACCCATCCTGCAGGTTGTATTCAACCTTACATTGTCCTACCGTCTAGCAACTCTGAAGCTGCACTTTCTAGTCATATTATCTGTGGGGTCTGGAGATCCAAAATAAATTATAAATTCCCTTCAGTGGTAATGAAATGCTCATTGTTGTCAGGAGATATGCCTAGGGGCTGGACTTCCTGAGCCAGCCCAGCAAGCAGAAATCTAGTGGAAGAAAACAACTCGGTGTCCCTATCACAGTTGTGCCCAGCTGATCCTATTGCCAGTCCACAGGGAGCAGAGACAGCAGCATACCAGAGCTATTATCTTGGGAAACAGCTAGCTGGGTGCTGCTCAGGGCAAGAGGCTGGTCCCTGTGAGAATGTGTGTGCGGCGGGTCGGGGGGGGGTGTTGAGCTTTTATACCAGTTAGTAGCTTTTTGAGGCCCCTTTTACTTTCCAGGAACTGAATCTCAGCAGCAGGGTAGGGTATAGGTTGTCTGAGTCCATTTGTAGTGTCTTCCCCAAATAGATTAAGGAGATTTTGTGGAGGCTGGGGTCAGTAGGATCTGGTGATGAGTCAGAAAAGAGATATCCAGGATGGTTCCTAGGTTTCCAGTTTAGGGGATTAGAAGGTTGGTGGTACCTGTCCTTGAAATAGAAAGCAAAAGAGAAAACATCTGGGAGATAATCAACCTGTCTGATCCTAGGTTACATGTTTGGAAGTCAGGGGATGGAGTATAGTCAGCCAGTATCCAGGGACGGATACTGGCCAGTGAGGTATTGGAAACCAGAAAGTCTAAATAATATATTAGGGTTTTTGGAGCTTTGAAAAGAAGGATGATAGAGGAGAATGCTTTCACAAATTGTTATTTCTGTCATGCCTGATTGTACATGCCTGTAATCTTAGCACTGAGGAGGCTGAGGCAGGAGGATCACATGAGTCCGGCCTAGGCTATATAGTAAGACCCTGTCTCAAAAGAAATACAAAAACAAACAAACAAAAACAAAGCCAGGCATGGTGGTATATGCCTATAATCTGAGCACTTGGGACAAGGGTGTGGGTGCTAAGGCAGGAAGATCACGAATTCCAGCCTGGCCTACATAGCGAGACCCCTCCCCCCCTAAAAAGTAATTGTTATTTCTGAATTGCTCCTCCGTATTTGCTGAAGAGAAAACCTGTAGGCTAGAGGAAAATACTAGACTTGATGGAATGGGGGTCTATAGCTCAGACTGGAAATGAAAGTTGACTCAGACAAGTGGTATTTCCAGAGAAGTTGAAAAGATGTTTGCCTGGTTAATGGTACTGGCCAGTAGTTGTCCTGAGACTTGCTCTCTTGTCCTAGGCTTTTTTCTTATTCTTGTAAATGTTAGAGCCACTTTCTCCTTGACACTTTCCTCCCACAGTGCACCTCTGCTTTTTTTGTGTGTGGAATTTTTTTTCTTGTGGTACTGGAGTTTGAACTTAGGACCTCACGCTTGCTAGGCAGGAGCTCTACCACTTGAGCCTTTATGCCAGCCCCCCTCTACTTTTTTTGCATGAAGGAAAAGCACAGATGATGAGGCTTTCTTGGCAGAGGGCCTTGGGGAAGTGCTCTGTCTTCATTATCCATGAACCTGGGATAGCCCTGGGTTTATATTTCAAAAGGAAAGCCCCTATTAGTCTGAATCCTTCTAGGCCAAGTCAGATCAAGTTCTCTCTGGCACTTGGAAGGCATACTTCATTAATATTGCCATCCAACTCATTGTTCAAAGGCAGCATGTGTCAGAGTCTATGCTTATATAAAGCTAGGGATATGGGCAGATGACCATATATATGCTGTTTGCAGAACTCCAACAGGCTTATGGAGTGACAGTGCCTTGATAAATATCTTCCTTTTGTATCTGGCTCACAGAACCTTTGGACTGCTCTGACTTGGCTTGTCATGGGCATAGGCAGTATGGAGAGGGAGGGGGTAAAAGGCAGGTGTTGCCTTTCTCATTGGATATTTGATGGCTCACTGGGAAGTGGGATCTAATACTAGTGGACAAACACTTCATATCCTGAGGGAGCGTATTACCTCCCTCTGTTCCTGTTCATGATTCATTGCTTTCAACAATGACGAATTATTTTATAATGAAAAAAAGGACTGTATTATAGCCCCAGGGTGATATGTCTTACAGAAATCCAAGGACTAGGAAACAATCTTGGTGCTTAAACAGCAAGCAAAACTCATTATAATGTTGACTTGAAATCAAAATGGAGATATTTACTGTCATGGCCTACTTTTAGAAGTATCTGCAAATAAAAGAAGTGAACTTCATTTTCTCCTGGACTACTGGAGGCCTTTAGCCCAGTCTGGGACGGTAAGACAAACGGCAAAGATGTTTCTCCATCTTAGGAAACAGGCCAGGCCAAGCTGCTGCTTACTTACTGCCCAAACTAGTGAGATCTTGGTCAAATCTAGGTGTTCATTCCTTGATACAGAACAGAAGGAAGCTCCTGACCCTAACAAGGTGAAACCACTCATTGTGGCCTGTTTATCCTATGCACCAGATAACTGCTGTACCTCAATCACAGATGGCATTTCCTCTTGGCAGGTGGCAGTTTACATAGCTGGCCGAAGGAATGCTGGGGATAATCCTTTTGCTTGTTTCCCTGTGAAGCAAAATCCCTTTTCTGTGCCCAGTTCCTGCCCTAGAATTCCAAACCCACAAGATTTGTCCATATGGTATATGTCCATATGTGGCAGGCAGGATTTCTGATAGGATATGTCTACCAGAGTTCCAGATCCCAGCGTTTTCTTAGGCAAGCCAGACCTGTGCCTGTGATCCTGGTGCATTTTGCCCTCAGGTGGGCACATTTGCACTGGTCTGACTCTTTTGCCCAAGAAGATACCAGAGTCTCTGGGCCTTTATAGGTCTTTGCTCAGCCACTCTTGGCTCCTCATTTTAAGACTCACCAAACTATTCTTGTCTTCTGTCCTTGAGAATCTTGTAGGCCCCTTGCAGGATCCTGCTCCTGTATCTGCTATCCCCAGAATGTGCAAATAATTCTTTTTCTTATTCTGCTATGAATCCTTGCCTTACTCAGCTTCCAGAGGCTCTAGTGACTCCCTGTGGTTGCATATCAGGCTCTCCTTGCTGGCTCCCCTTCACTCTTCAGTGATCTTCTGAAGTGAGAGTAGGAACACAGCCACCACAGTTGTAACCTTCATTTGGAGGCTTCCCTGGCACTGTCCAAGGAAGATTAATTTTATTTTTAGTGAAACTGGGATTTGAACTCAGGACTTTATGCTTGCAAAGCAGGCACTCTACCATTTGATTGAGCCACATTTCCAGTCCATTTTGTTCTGGTTATTTTGGACATGGGGGGTCTCATGAACTGTTTTCCCAGTTGAACCATGATCCTCCTGATCTCAGGGAAGGTTAATCTTAGTATGAAAGCTTTTAAACACAAAGGGTATGTGAGGGAATGACAAGGGAACCTTTTTTTTTTTTTTTTTGTGGGACTGGGGTTTGAACTCAGGGTTTTGTAGTTAGAAAGCAGGCACTATCTGTAGTCCATTTTTTTCTAGAGTTATTTTGGAGATGGGCCTTTCAAACTGTTTGCCTGAGCTGGCCTCAAAGTGTGATCCTCCCCATCTCAGCCTCCCAAGTAGCCAGGATTACCGGCATGAGTCATTGTGCCCAGCTCTAATGTTATTATTTTAATCCCATGAACCTTTTTTGTGTGTGTGTGTGATACTGGGACTTGAACTCAAGGCCTTATGCAAGCACTCAAGGAACCTTTTTAAAATAGAAGAAACAGCCAGGCATAGTGTCGAACACCTGTAATCCCTGCACACAGGAGGCTAAGGTAGGAAGATTGCAAGTTCAAGGCCAGCCTGGGCTACCTAGAGAGACCCTGTCTTAAGAAAAACCAAAATAAAATAATAAAATAGAAGAAGCAAGATGCTGAGGTTTTCCTCCATTTGAATTTCTAGAGTCCACCAGAAAGTATGAGACTGACCCTGTGTGGAAAATAAACTAAAAACCAAAAAGAGCTGAAGGTCTTTGCTCAAGTAATAGAGTGCTTACCAAATGCAAGGCCCTGAGTTCAGACCCCCGTATCACCAACACACACACACAAGAAATTTGAACATGGACTAGATTTCTTACATAAAGGAACTTACAGTGAATCATTACTCTTTTTTAAAGATTCTTTACATTATTGAGATATAATACTGAAGTATTTTTGGATGAGATATTTGAATTTCTGAGTTTGGCTTCCAAATGATCCAGTAGGTGAGGCAGGAGATAGACTGGGATATGATTAGCCAAGTGTTGATAATTCTTGAAACCAGGCAATGAGACTCTTATTTTTCTTTGTCTTTTTTTTTTTTTTTTCCAGCACTCAAGGCCTACACCTTGAGCCATTCCACCAGCCCTTTTTTTTGTGATGGGTTTTTTTTGAGATAGGGACTCACAAACTGTTTGCCTGGTCCAGCTTCAAACCCCAACCCTCCTGATCTCTGCCTCTGGAGTAGCTAGGATTATAGGTGTGAGCCACCAGTACCTGCCTCTATTTTTGTATATATTTGAAATTTTCCAAGAGATAATAAAATTGAATAATAAAAATGCAAGTAATCTTACAGCAGAAATGCCATATATACTATGATTATAACTATGTGAAAATAATGAAATTAGAAGAGGTATTTTAATTCTGTGGGGTGGTATGATATAATAACTTTCCTATTTTCACATTCTCCATAGTCTTAAGAATTTTATGTCTATATTTCCCAAAAGGGATGGGAGTGATATGATTGTGGCCCACCCACAAGTTCTCCTTTCATGGGCTCCCCTTTCTTACTATATCACTATGTGAATATCTGTGTTACACTTATTTTGGAATCATGTGACTCTTTGGGTGTGCATTCTTTGAATATAACAGTCAGTGCTTGGTAAATAATCATCTGGAGTCTGAACTGGGAAAGGTAAATGGAACCAGGTTCTGATAAAGTTAAATACAAGGGATGTGGAAAGGCTCTTTGATTAAGAACTCTAGATATCAGCCAGAAAAATAAATTTAAGAAGCTAGAGTCAGCATTGTATGCACATATGAATAATTAAAAAATAAAAATTAAAAAAAAAAGAAGCTAGAGTCAGTTAGGAAGTGAAGTAGCTACAGGGCTAAAGCCATTCATACTTCTAGAAGGAGAGATGGAATGATGCCTGGGTATGTCTACAACTGGAGGCTACTGGAAGGAACGGTTAGAGGAAGGAGCAAGGGTCCATGTTTGTGTGAGCCTGCAGTCCCAGTCAGGGCTCTGGAGGCTGAAGTGCTCTTGATTTTATTTCCCAGGCCTGGTTAATAACGTGGTGTTCACCAGTCACACTGCGGAGCAAAGGCACCCTCTTCTTGTCCAGCTGCAGAGCCTCATCAGGGCTGCCAATCCTACTGCAGCCTTCATTCTTGCAGAAAATGGAATTGTTACCAGGTAAGCTTCTACAGACTATACTCCATAGGACTAGCCTCTTTCTCAGATACAGCACTCTGGCTATGTCCCACAGGGCCTTTCTGCTATATCTATAACCTGAGAATTTATAAAAGTTGGGTTTTGAAGTGCTTTTGACATTCTGTAAAAGCCACCAAGAAGCCTCCATTTGTCAGTATCATATCCTGTTCTGGGCATTTTGTTTTGATGCATTTACATTCTCATACATTGAAGAATGGAAGTCAAGACTGTCTCTTGTGTTCCATATGTATATGTATGTAGCATAGAGAAGGTGGAGAAATGATCCCTTTACTTCATGGCCTTGAGTCCAACTTACAAATTCAACAGTAGAGAATTTGTGGTGGCCACCAGCGGCTTATGCCTGTTAATCCTAGCTACTCAGAAGGCAGAGATCAGAAGGATCGAGGTTCGAAGCCAGCCCTGTTCCAATAGTTCGAGAGATTCTATCTTGAAAAAAAACAACACAAAAAAAGGGGGCTGGTGGAGTGGCTCAAGGTGTAGGCCCTGAGTTCAAACCCCAATACCACCCAAAAAAAAAAAAATTAAAGGACTGGGTGCTAGTGGCCTCATGCCTATAATCCTAGCTACTTGGGAGGCTATGATTAGGAAGACATAGTCCAAGGGTAGCCTGGGCAGATAAATTTGCAAGATCCCATCTCAACTGAAAACTGGGTTGTGGTGTGTGTCTTGTCATCCCAGCAGTAGCAGGAAGCATAAAACAGGAGGATCGTGATCCAGGCCAGCCTTGAGTTCAAACCTTCATACCAACAAACATAAAAAAAATTAAAGGGCTGGGTCTGTAGCTTGATGATGTAGCACTTGCCTAGTATGTTTGAGGCCCTGCATTTGATCACTAGCAATACACACACACACACACACACACACACACACACACACACACACACACACACACACCAGTTTAATCAACAATGAAGAAAAAAAGACAAACTAAAACAATGCATCTATGTGTATATAAAAATAATAACAACTAGAGCTGATGGAATAGCTCAAATGGTAGAGTGCCTACCTAGCAAGCATGAGGCCCTGAGTTCAAACCCCAATACTGCTAATAAAAATAAACAAAAAACAGCTATACAACTAGAAGTAATTCAGATAACTTTTTAACATAATCGTTGAAACCCTGACCCAAAACAACATTGGAGAAATTAGATTATAAATATGAAATGGTGAAGATGAAGAAGAAGCTTTCAAGTGTGCTTCTCATTGTGAATGAAAAGAAGCATTCAGTTGTGAACTTACGTTCATTCTTTTTTTTAGTGTATGTTTCCTAGTTCTTTCCATTGTAAAAGACCAGAGTAATATTACCACAGTAGCAATAAACACCCCTACGTCTAGATCTGGGCTTCTAAGTACCAATCCTCACCACAAGGTATCAGGACTTGGAGAATTGACTTGTTGCATGTCTTGAGCAGGGAAAAAGTAAAAGGCAAGCCTGGTCCATTTAATGAGCATAAGGAAATACTCAAACATTAGTGGAGAGGTATACAAAGGATATAAGAACCAGCTTAAGAAGCTCCCACAAGCACAATAGAAAAGCAGTGATAGGTGGGGAAGGGGCTGAGGGGAGAGACGATGGTGACAATGTAAATTATGTACAATATAAGACTAATTAGAATTGTCACTACAAATCTCCCCCCCTGCATAATGAATATATCCTAACAAAAACTTTATTTTAAAAAAAATAATGACAAAGTAATACTAAATGGGAGGAAGGGGGTAGATAGCAAAGCCCTTCCTTATATATGACCCAAATAAATAAGGATAGACAGAACTAGAAAATCACCATTATGGGCTAGAGAGATGGCATTTGAGGCCCTAAGTTCCATTCCCCAGTACCAAAAAGAAAGAAGAAGAAAATGACCTTCAAATTAATATTTATTTGGGCAGAGGATCATCAATGAATGCTAAAAGTAGTGGGTGAAAAATTATGGGAGAAAAACATATCTGCTGGTCTTCCATGGTATAGTGTCACTCCAGTTTACTTATTACTTACAAAGAGGAAACACAACCTTTACATCCACAAAGTCTAGCAGATACATGTTGACCAAATGATTAAAATTAGCAAAACCAGTAATGGGACATTCTAGTATCATGTGCCTCCCGATGTGAGTCAGTGGAACATCACCTGGATTTTATCTTCACCAAAAATGTTTAGTCTGATTCTAGTCATGAGGAAATAATCAGATAAATCCATTGTGGGGCACATAACAACTCTTTAAAATATAGATTCCATTGAGAAAAAAGGGAAAAGTGAAGGAATTGTTCCAGAATAAAGGAGAATAAAGATTATAAATTTAAATTTAATGAGTGGTCCTTGATTGGATCATGGACCCCCCCCTCTTCCACACAAGAGGGAAAATTGGAAAACAAATGAATATTAGATCGGTGCTTCTCTAATGTTATTGTATATAAATCTTGTCAAAATGAATTTCTAGAGCTGGGCACTGGTGGCTCATGCCTGTAATCCTAGCTATTCAGGAGGCAGAGATCGGGAGGATCATGGTTCAAAGCCAGCCTGGGCAAAATAGTTTGAAAGACCCTATCTGGAAAAAACCTTCACAAAAAAGGGTTGGTGGAGTGGCTCAAGGTGTAGGCTCTGAGTTCAAGCTCCAGTACCTCAAAAAAAAAAAAAATAGTTTCAAGAGGCTGATCGCAGTCACTCACACCTGTGATCCTAGCTACTCTGGAAGCAGACATTAGGAAATGCAGTTTGAGACCAGCCTGAGCAAAAAGTTCTTCAGACTTCATCTCAGCAGATAGCTGGGCGTGGTGGTTCACACCTGTCATCCCAACTATGTGGGAAGTGGTGCAGGCTGACTGGACCATAAACATGAGACTCTATCCCAAAAATAGCCAAAATCAAAAAGGGCTTAAGTGGTAGAGTGCCTGCCTAGCAAGCACAGAGGCCTGAATTCAAAATCCTGTACTACCAAAAATTAGTTTCTGAAGCTGAACATAGTGGTATATGCCTATAATGCCAGCACTCAGGAGGCTAAGGCAAGAGAATCACAAATCCAGGCCAGTGTGGACCCTGTGTCAAAGAGCTGGGTGCAAAGGCTCATTCCTATAATCCTAACTACTCAGGAGGCAGAGATTGGGAAGATTGTGGTTCAGGCTAGCTTGGGCATAAAAGCATGAGACCCTATTTGAAAAATGACTAAAACAAAAGGGCTAGCAATATGGTTCAAGTAGTAGAGCACCTGCCTAGCAAGCACAAGGCCATGAGATCAAACACCCCATCAGTAGGTCTGGGATGGGCCTGAGATTTACATTTCTAATAAGTTCCCAGGTGATAGTACTGCTCATCATAGTATTAATTCCTTGGGTGTGATTATAGTATTGTGGTTCTGAGATAGGTGCTGGTGGTTCATGCCTAGCTACTTGAGAGGCAGAGATCAGAGGATCTTGATTCGAAGCCAGCCTGGGCAAATAGTTCGTGAGACCCTATCTGAAAAATACCCAATATAAAACAGGGCTGGTGGAGTGGCTCAAGTGTAGAGTACTCCCTAGCAAGCATGAAGCCCTGAGTTCAAACCCCAGTACCACCAAAGAAAAAAAAGTTTTGTGGTTCTGTAAGAGAATGACTTTATTCTTACAAAATACATATCCATGTATTTGTGGGTGCAATGCCCTGATGCATAAAACTCATTTTCATGTATTTTGACAAAAAAACAAAAATGAAAAACACGCATGCACATGTGTTTGTATGCGTATATATAGGGATGTGGGAGAAAGCAAAATGGGCAGCTTAACGTGGACAGTCCTAATTAATCTGGGTCTTTTCTGTATGTTTTCAAAGGAACGAAGACGTTGAGCTGATTCTCTCAGAAAATAGTTTTTCCAGTCCTCAGATGCTACGATCTCGATACTTAATGTACCCTGGCTGGCAAGTATTATCATTGAAAATAGCTAAAAATTGTATGTAAGCCCAGTGGTTTATTTATTTATAGGAAACAAAAAAGAGAAAATGAAACCATCAAATGTGCTTTACAAAGGTGACACATGTTAACTGGTAATGTCTGCCATGTCCCAGCAGACTTCGGCCCTACCAGGAACCCAATATTCCATATCTTGTGCTCTAAATTCAGGGCCTCCTTGGATGTTGAGATTTAGGTCATCCTGCAGGCACCAAACTCAATGATACCCTATTTCCTTTAGTGAGGGTGAGGTGACAGGCATGGCATAAGGAGTTACAGCCTTCCCAGGTGAGCATCTTTTTTGAAAGTACAGTCAGACCTCTAGGGTTCACATCTGACAGGTAGGTTCTCTGCTGAAGAGGCCCAGGGAATGTTCTCTGCAGGCTGCCTCACAGCCTGAGAACCTCTCCAGAGAGGAAAGAGTGTGCAGAGTCCACCAAAATCATACACCAACACCACTTGAGCAATCACGGTGTTAGGCATTGTTCTAAGACCATGCTCACCAGTATGGCCACCATTAGCCATATGCCTATTGAAAGTAATACAAGTATAAATTAATAAAAAGAAAATACAGATTAGAATTCAGTCTCTCAGGTACACAGCCACAGTTCAAGTGCACCATAGCTGCCTGTGGTTCACAGCTACCATGTTGGGCAGTGCAGACGTAGAATGTTTCCACCATTACAGAAGACAGTGCTGCTGTAAGGGCTTTACCTGCGTTGTTCCATAACACTTACACTAAGCCTGGGACGTGGACTTGATTATTTTCCACATTTAATAGAGGAGATAACAGAGGGAACAAGGAGTTAAGTGACTTGTCCCAGATACCAATAGCTAGCAAAAGAGCTGGATTTCAAGCCCAAGTTATCTGGCTCCAGAGCCTATTCTTCTGACCCATGTGCTATACTTGTCCCTGTACAGAAAGGGCAACTTATCTCCATAGGTTAGGAAGGAAAGTTTAGAGGAAGACAGTAAAGCTTAGCCAGAAATTCTCATGTTTATCTGGATTATCTTTGTTATCCTGACTTCTCCCAGGCACTCTACATCCTCCAAACCACCCCTTCCTTATGCCACCAATTGTCTGTACTAATAAAAAACTTAGGCTGGCATGGGTGACATGAGGATCATGAGTTTGAGGCCAGCCTGGGCTACATAGTGAGATACTGTCTCAAAACAAAAACAAAAACTGATTGCACTATGCTTTTAAAAAAGCAATAATTAAAAGCCATATGGTCAGTATATAAAATTAAAGGTTGTCAGCCATATTCTTAGAACTCTTCTGATTTGAGTCTCGTCCTACTTGCTTGGATAGTGGATAAGTGTGTGTCATTTCTTATGCCTGAATAAGACAATTATTGTGTATTGGCAAAAAGATGGAGCCAGGCACTGGTGTCTCACATCTGTAATCCTAGCTACTCAGAAGGCAGAGTCATGCGGATCGTGGCTCACAGCCAGCCTGGGCAAAGAGTTCTTGAGACCCTTGAGACCCTATCTCAAAAAAACCCATCACAGAAAAGGGCTGGTGGAGCAGCTCAAGGTATAGGCCCCAGTCCGGGAAAAAAAAAAAAAAGGTGGCTTTCTGAGAAGAAACCCAGTTTTCCATGTCTGCAGTTACTGACCCTCTTGCTGCCTGTACCTTGGGCCTGAGCCTAAGGCTCTGTGGTCATCACTTGGTGCCTAGAGAAGTCCATTCTCTAAGCTGTACTGTGAGAGAGCAACTATGAGAGGCTCATTAGAAGATTATGTGAATTTAGAGTCTGAGGTTTTCCTTGATTAAAGACTGATGAAGAAACTCAGTTCTGCTGGGCACTGGTGACTCATGTTTGTAATGCTAACTACTTGGAAGACTGAGATTAGGAGAATTGTGGTTCAAGGCTAGCCCAGGCAAGCCTTGAACTCAGGAAGCCCTGAGTTCAAACCCCAGTCTCCCACTTCCACCCCTAATTTAAAAAAAAAAACACTCCGGGCAAGGTGGCTCATGCATGGTAATCTCACCTTCTCAGGAAGTAGAGATTAGGAGAATCACAGTTTGAGGCCAGCCTGGGCAAAAGTTAGCAAGACACCCATCTCAACAAATCAGCTGGTTATGGTGGTGTACCTGTGTGGTTCAGTCCAGGCTGGCCTGGACAAAAATGTAAGACTCTATCTTTAAAAGATAAAGAAAAAGAAAAGAAATGCAAAAAGGGCTGGAGGTGTGGTTAAAGTGGCAGGCCCTGAGTTTAAACCCTAGCACCACAAATAATAATAATAGTAATCAAGTAATGTGAAAATACAATAGATAAGGAATATACAAAAATTTTTGTATCCAAGCTGGTAAAGGGACAATATAATATTTGGGAAGATTGTTTTTATATTTTAGAAAAGTTACCTAGCCTGTATAGATGTGGACAGTTCACTTAAGAGCAAGTATAAAGAGCAATCATGGAAACAGTTCATTGTCAATGATATTCAGAAATGTAAAATGGTGCCCATTTGTTTTGATTGATGTTTATTATACTCAATTAAAAATACCTATAATGTTCACTGCCTGAGAAACTGACTACTAATCTGCTTCTGGTATGCTGTAAATTATTACCCATGTGATGGTTACATTCCTTCCTGGAGTGATTCATCTCAAAGAAATAACTCAAAAGGAAGAATAATAATTCCCTAACTGTGGAACTCTGCTAGTGGGGCATGAAGGCTCATTTTACTACCATATATCTAGTTTGAAGCTTTCTTTATCAGAAAGCTAACATTTTAGCCAGACACAATGATGTGCATCTGTAGTCCCAACTACTTGGGAGGTGGAAGCAGGAAGATCACTTGAACCTAGGGGTTCAAGACCAGCCTAGGCAACATAGCAAGACCCTGTCTCAAAAAATCCCAAATGCTCTGAGTTTAATACTCTGATTTTGACCATGTTCTTTTTTTTTTTTGGCAGCACTGAGGTTTGAACTCAGGGCCTTTAGCAGGCACTTTTACTACTTGCACCACTCTGCCAGTCCCTTTTTGTGATGAGTTTTTTCGAAATAGGGTCTCACAAACTATTTGCCTGGGGCTGACTATGAACCAAGATCCTCCTGATCTCTGCCTTGTGAGTAATAGCTAACATTATAGGCATGAGCCACCAGAACCTAGCAGCAGCTGTGTTCTTAATGACTGATAGATATTATGTCTGCTGAAATGAAAACAGAGCAGAGATACCCCAGCCTTTCACTTCCTTCTGGAGAAAATGTATACCCACATGTATAGTCTGTAACCTCCCCACAATGAAATGATGGGGCTGATTGGATCCCTGAAAGAAATGGGAGAAGATCCTGAGCAAAAACCCTCATTGGGGGTTCATGAGAGTTCATGCCTGTAATCCCAACACATGGAAAGCTGAGGCAGGATGATGTTGAGAGAGAGAAAAGGGGGGAAGAGGGGAGGAGAGAGAAGGGAAAAGAGAGAGGAGAGAGACCTCTACTGTTCCTGCAAGGACTCTAAGCCTGACTTCAGGAACTGCTAGTTAGCCCATGCTTTAAGGGACAGACATGCTTCCCAGTCTCCAGGTGAAATAGACATATACACAAATAAATAAGTGTTTTGTATGCAAAATGGCATACAAGTAAGGAGGAATCAAATATTACTGGATAAATGACATGCAGTGCATCCCAATATATATATTATAATATAATATAATATAATATAATATAATATAATATAATATAACACTCAAAGCCCCAAGTACATGTACTTAAATATTTTTTAAATGTTTTAAGGTTTGAAGGTAAATTTGATGCTGGATCCGCCTTTCCACTAATGGTTCAGATCTGTGTATGGTTTTGCCGTCCTCTAGAGAAGACTCGCTTTGTGGCCAAGTGTAAAGGTGAGCCTTGGCTGGGACATTCTCACATCTGGTGAAAGGGTACCCCATAGTTGTCCCTGCCTCCTAGCACATTTCAGTATTTTGTGTGCTATCTCTTTTAACTACTATTTGGTTTTTTTGTTTGTTTGTTGTTTGTTTGTTTGTTTGTTTGTTTGTTTTGGAGCGGTGAGGGAGGAAGGGGATACCTGCCTAGCCAGCCAGATCAGCCGAATCAACCCTGGCGATCAATGGGGTGACAGATGTCGCAGCCAGATCACCCTCACATCCTTAACTACTATTTGTGACCAAAAGCAGGCAGAGGGATTTGAGGACCCAGGAGTCCACTATTTCTGATTGTGTATAGCTACACAATTTGATCTCCACTCCATTGGAAGAGTTTTTCCCATCCTTGGTAATGGGGGCAGAGGCTATAGGGAGGAAAGGGTGGGAGTTTAAGCTGTGAACCATGAACATGGAAGAAACCATGGTTCCTTCCCCAGTCTCTAGCCCTCCCAGTTGTGTTGCCTTGAACTTTGCCTCTCTCCCTGAGTGGATAACATCCCTGTCCTCTTCCTCCACCAGCAATTCAGTCCTCCATCAAGCCAAGTCCTTTTTCTGGAAACATCTACCACATCCTTGGCAAAGTGAAATTTTCAGGTAACTGGGGAATTGGCTTTGGGAGCCCCTCATCATGGATGAGCTCCACCACTCATGATGTGAGTTCATAGCTTCTGGTTCTCTGAAGACCACTGATGCCTTTTGGATTCCCAGATACCATTCTCTGAGCCTTATACCATTAGGCTCTTCTAGGGGCACCACTCTGCCCCTAGAATCTACTTTCCCCAGGTCCTCTGCTCCACAGTAAAGTTATGCCCATGGATGATCTTCTGAGGCCTCTCCTCACAGCTCCTTAACTTTTTTGTTCTACAAATTCACATCCCAGCCTCTTGAATCATCCATGGCCTCCTCTGAGACCTGCCACCAGAAGCTGCCCAGTGCTGAACTCTGCAGCTCCCAGTTTGTGTCTGCTAAAGTCTTTGAGCCTCTGCTTGCCTTGTTCTCCCTTCTGTATAGCAGGCCTGCTTATCAGTCTAGACCTCTGGAGCACTTGTGACCTCATAGTCTGCCATGTACTGGAGGTCAGGGAAGGCCTCAAAACTAATAGGAGTTGGTCAACTCAACATTGAGGAAGGAGAGAACATCCTAGTGAAACGGAACAGCATTTGCTATAGTCCAGAGGCAGAACCAGAAAGGGTTTACTGTTGCCAAGTGCTTATGACTCACATCTGTAGTCCTAGCTACTTAGGAGGCAGAGATCAGGAGGATCGGGGTTTGAAGCCAGCCTGGGCAAATAGTTCTCGAGACCCTATCTCAAAAAAAAACCATCAGAAAAAAAGGGGCTGGTGGAGTGGCTTAAGGTGTAGGCCCTGAGTTCAAGCCCCAGTACTGCCAAAAAAAAAAAGAAAAGAAAAGAAAGGGTTTACTGTGGCTAGAGGGAGGGAGGGAAGAGGGATGGAGTATGTCTGCTAGGGCTCCTTCAGCAGTTACAATGGAAAACCCCAATTGAACTAGGAAGTGTTAGCTTAAACAGGAGTTTAGAGATAAGGCATGTTGATGCCTGTGGCTCACACCTATAATCCTAGCTACTTGGGAGGCTGAGATAAAGAGAATTGCCTTTTGAGGCCAGCCTGGGCAAATAATTCTTGAGATTCATTCTCCAAAATAACCAGAACAAAATGGAGTAGAAGTGTGGCTCAAATGGCAGAGCGCCTGCTTTGCAACTCCAAATGCTCCCCACCACCACCACCACCCAAAAAAAAAAAAAAGATCAGGCAGCAAAGCAAGGCCACTGAGGCCCCAGCTAATGTGTCCATGCATTCTTCCATTCTTGGCATATTAGCTTGCCCACAGGTTCCTATCCCTCATGGCTGCCCAGTGGTACTGCAGGCGTAGGTGTCACAACCAGATACTGCAGCCAGTGGGGAGAGGCTGGCCTTCCTGTGGGTATATCAGTACAGACACCTCTGCTCTCATAGTCTTGTAAATGCCACAGGTGAGGAGTCAAGCTCCCTCACCTCAAGCCCTTTCTTCCTCTTGTATCTCCTGCCCAGTTCATAGTGTCATCTGATCACCCACATCAGCCAAACCAGAAACTTCTCCTCCCTCTCTTATTCCATGCTTTCTTACTGACCACCAGTCACATTGATTCTCCCTCCTGCACTGTCTTAGGAATCTGATCCAGCTGTTGGCATTGTTACAGAATAGTCCTTACCTTTCGGGATGGGGTCTCAGGGACAAACATGTGTTCTCCATACAGATTCAGAAAGGACCATGGAGGTCTGCCACAACACTCTGGCCAACTCCCTAAGCATTGTGCCAGTTTTGGAGGGACCCACGCCACCTCCTGACTCAAGAAGCACATCACAGGACAGCAACGGGCAGCAGGAATGTTACCTTGTGTTCATCGGCTGCTCCCTGAAGGAGGACAGCCTCAAGGACTGGCTGAGACAGTCAGCTAAGCAGGTGACTTCCAAAGTCCAGATAGAGGAGCAAGCATGAGGCATTGCATTCAAACCCCAGTACTACCAAAAAAGAAAGCCCAGACAGATATGGCATCAGTGTAACTAGCATGCCCCAGAGCTGCTACTGACCCTGACAGACCCCACAACCCTGCCCACTTCACAGGCTCAGGCAGCATTTTTAGGGACATTATGAGAGTAAACAGAAGTCCCTTGGGGCAAACTAAACAGATGTGGTATGTTGTGTACTCCATGAGTCAAGGTTGTCTGCATGCTGTGAGTGCTAAGCCTCTTAGCACAGCCTCCACAGTTTGGTTTATCCTAGAACTCTTAAGAGTTGCCTGGGGCCTGGGTCTTTTATAGATGCCCGGTTGGGACCAGTGTTTACTGAGGCATGAGCTCCCTCACCTGGATAAGCTCTTCTTTCTCCATTTTTTGAAAGTTTTACTATGTAGCTGGGCAAGGGCTCATGCCTATAATCCTGGCTACTTTGGAGGCTGAGATTGAGAGGATGGAGGTCAAGGCCAGCCTAGGCAAATAGTTCCCGAGAACCCATCTCCAAAATAGCCAGAGTAAAATGGACTGGAGGTGTAGCTCAAGCAGTAAAGCACCTGCTTTAAAAGTGGGAAGCCCTGAGTTCAAAACCCACTCCTACCAAAAAAAAAAAAAAATCTTGCTATTTAGCCCAGGTTGGCATTAATCTCGAGATCCTCCTACCTCAGCCTCTTGAGTGTTGGGATTAAAGATCTGAACCACCACTCTTAGCTTTGGATAAGCTTTTTTTTGGAGGTACTGGTGTTTGAACTCCAGGCCTCATGCTTGCGAGTCAGGTGCTCTTCCACATGAGCCACTCTTCCAGCCCTGGATAAGCCATTAAATCATACTTGACTATGGGACATTGGAAGACCTTAGGGATGAGAATCTGTAAGGAGTCAAGACCAGGCCCATTTGCAAAACCACTGGGCTCTCTGCCATTTGTTCCCTCAGCCTTGTAGGGCTCTGTAATAGGAAAGAGGGCTTCTCAGTGGCCAGACAGACAGGATGCCATGGCCAGGCCCGTTCAAATGCATTTCTTCCACTGGGAGCTTCATCATGTAACTGACCCCCAAAGCTCTGAGCCCTCATCTGCCTGTGTGCTCCATCAACTCTGTTGTAAGCTGACCTTTCCCTCCATCTCTGGCCAGAAGCCTCAGAGAAAAGCTCTGAAGACCCGGGGAATGCTGACCCAGCAGGAGATCAGGAACATCCACGTGAGTACCTTGCTCTCATGGCCCAAGGCTATCTTCTTAAGCTTGCATAGCTCTGTCTTTCAGGTTCCCTGAGTAAGGAACTACGTGTAGGGCATACTCAAGTCTTGTTTTTCCCAGGTCATAGGGAAAGCTGATCAAGAAGTTCACACCTGGGGGCTGGCAGAATGGCTCAAGTGGTAGAGCACCTGCATAGCAAGTGTGAAGCCTTGAGTTCAAAGCCCACTGCCAAAGTTAAAAAAAAAAAATGTTCAGCCTTACAGCTTCAGTGAGGCGGTGGGCAACCTCTGGCATAACCTGGGCGTGAAATGGAAAAGAGCCAGTCCCTGTGAGAGGAGTGGGTAATGGGAGTCCTGGTCTTATCACTCTATTCAAGTAACTGCAGAGACCTGCCCAACATAAAAACCACAGAGAAAAACAAGTAAGCCCAGGAAAAAGCAGTCTATACCCAGAGCTGTCATCAGAAGGCTATGGAATCCTAAGGCCAGGATGAGGGGGCCTTGATGAGCCCTTACAAATTCCAGGCTGACCCCTAGTGTCTGGCCCAGGCCATGCGCACTAGGGCCTTTTCTTGAGGGGCTTGAGACAAAGGGCCAAGAGGGACACACAGTTCAACCTTGTATGGTCTATGTCACCATTCTCAATGATGAGCGGGTGGTACAGGAGAGGGCCCTTCACATCTAGCACCTATGGACCTGGACAGTTTGGATGCTCCTGGGGAGGGATGGTGGGCATCTCAGAAGGTAGTCCTTGTAATGTATGTTCTCCAGAAGCATACCCAGAGCAAGGATTTGAGGTCAGGTTGTTTATTTTGGAAATGATTCTAGGAAATCTTAAATAAGGGAAGTAGGAAAGTGAGAGAGGGAAGAGAAAGAGACACAATCAATGAAGGTTGAGTTTTCAAACAAGAGCCATGGAAGCTTAATCCCATTAGGAACTCCCAGGATCCTCACCTGAGAAGCAGGGGACTACCCTCAGTCATGGCTCGAGACCTGTAGGGGTGTTAATTCCCTGCTTGTCTCATCTGTGGCAGAGTAGGAGATCTTGCTAGGACAATAGGCCTGTCTATTTGTTTTTAATGAGTGAATGAATGATAATAAGTGGTCAGATAATTCTAATACTCATTTTTTTCCAACAGGTGAAACGCCATCTGGACCCCCTGCCTGCAGGCTACTTTTACAATGGCACCCAGTTTGTTAACTTCTTTGGTGACAAGACTGATTTTCACCCTCGTATCCTTGGAAGCAGCTTGGTCCCCGTGTGGAATCTGGGGCAGTGATGCTGGGAGGTACAAGCCTGTCTGTGAAGCAGGGTTCTGCAGTCCCCAGGGCTGGAGGCACACAGGAACAAACCACAGGGTGCAATTTCCATGGTAGCCTTTTAAAGTTGTTGAAATTAGGTTTGTCCTTTCTTGGCAATTGGCAGTGTTACTCTGGAGGGTATTGTTTGAATGTATCTGTGGTGATACCCTGAGTTCTATAGTCATCAGAGTCATGATTTTCAAGTTGGGGATAGCCTGGTTACAATAGTTCATCTGTGATAAGATGGGCAGGGTAAAATGCGAGGCTGGGGAGCTGCTATGTGCTAAATGAAACCCAAGGGCTCTGTTCTAGGAATTTATGTAGGGCTCTTCAAAGCACTTGTCACATTCTTTGTATCTCTGATACTTAGTGTCCCCTGCCTCATCTGCCCACAGGTGGGCTAAGCAGGCTCCCTTGCCCTATAAGCTCAGGGCTCTGTTCCTTAACCAGACACCAGTCATGGACCAGTTCATGAACGACTACGTGGAAGAAGCCAATCGGGAAATCGAGAGGTACAACCGTGAGCTGGAGCAGCAGGAGTACCATGACCTCTTTGAGCAGAAGCCCTAGAGGAAGCTGGGCCTGACACCCACTCAAGATGGACAAATGAATGGGTGTCTTAACAGCTCTCTTGGAGGCCCCTCCTATAGGGACTGTCTCTGTCCTCCTTAGCCTGTGCGTGCTGGCTTGAGTACATGTTGTCTTTTTCTCTCTGCAACGCTGAAAGCCATCACCGGCACCACTGATGGGGGAGGTGGGGGGAGGAGATCCTCAAGGATGAATGGACAGGGCTGCAGGTGCATACACTGGCAGTCCAGGCTCCTTGGTCTCTGGTAACAGTATCTCCCTTGGGCTGCTAAAGCACTATGTGAGGATGGGGAGAAGCATTTGGATTGCAGAGGAGCTTCTGACACTTGGGAGGAATGTTGGCTTCTTAAATGGTGGCCATTCCTGAGAAGCCAGACCACCCCTGGCCTCAGGCCTCAGACATCACCCAAAACAGCTTTCCTCCCTGATAGTGCCTGCTGTCCCTGCTTAGGTCTTTCCATTGAGGAGCTGGCTTTGCTGGCCCTGGGCCCTGTCCAGAGGAGTGGCCATGATCCTGCCCAAGCCAACCCACAGAGCCAGCAGCTCAGGCAGAGGTCCAGAGCATGCTCTAAAATGAGGGGACTTCCCTTGTGGACTAAACTGAGGGAAAGGCATGGTGCCTTCCAGAAGTGTGTGGCTCATAAGTTAGCATCAGCAGGCCCCCAAGATTGGTTCTTGAGTTCTTTCCCATGACATCACTTGTTATATCCCTAATTCAGAGATAAGAGCAAGTCTGCCCAGGCACTCAGCAGTGCTTCACCTTCTGGTCAAGGGGAATGTCCTCCAGCTGGTCTGGGGTCTGGTCACTTGTGGGTATCAGTCTCCAGCACCCAGCCTTCCCTACAGCCATGCCAGGGAAGGCCTGGTTTTTAGCTACACACTTGAGGAAAGTCATGCCCCCAAAGCCTTGCTCCTGAACCCAGGATTTCTTTGGCTCCTGAGGAACAGGAATTTCAAATTCCAATACCCAAGTTAGCTTTCTCCCAGTGGCTTTTTTTTCTTAACTGACCCATAAAACAGAAGGGAATTTAATTGTGTCCCATGCCTGATCCTCATAACTCGGGAGGAGAGGTGGCACTGATATTTAGGTGATGTCTAGAACTTCAACACCTCAGATGCTTGGATTGTAAATGTTCTCTCAATTTCACATATTTTGCATGCCTTAGGAAGAAGCACATAGGTGAAACCAGCATAGTTTCCTGTAATGTAGAGGGGTTTTTGAGAAAGGCCCCTGGCACAGAGGAGAGCCAGGACAGAGCACATGTAATCTGTGTGCCTGGTCACACAGAGCCCTGCATGCAGGTAGCAAAGCAATTAGAAAACAATTTATATTTGAAGCCAAACAAACAAAACCACAAGTACCACTGAATGAGAAATCTTGCATTAAGAAAGGCTTCTGAAATTCAGGCCCATGTGCTGTAGTTGCAGTTCACAGGGAGCCCCTGACTTCTGGCTGGCCAGAGGCCAGGATCCACAAAGGGCCTGCCTCTCCTTCAGAATCAATAACGTAGATCTTAAGTGCAATTGATTAATAAGCAATGAGTTACTATAGCCTCTTTTAGCTCTACCGAGCTCTTTTTAAAAACTCAAACTTGAGCAGCCTTAGAAAAAAGAACAGGGTGGGGGTGGGGGGTAGGGACCACCATAGGCCGTTTCATTTCCTCCAAGGGGTTGCTGTGAAGTTGTCAGTGGAAGCTCTAGATATAGGAGCTCGAGCCATTTCCTGGCTGCCCTGGCCTGGCAGTCTGGCTGCTGCACAAAAGGGTTTTTAAAGAGGGGTCGGAACACAAGAGTGGGCCTTCCCACCACGTGGGGCTGCACTACGTGGCAAACTTGGTTTCTGACCATTGTCCATAGAAATGCTCTCTCACCAACCTGCCCCATGCTCCCCATTTCTCTCCTTGTAGAGGGAAAAACTGATTACCTCAACTTGAATATGAAACTGTGATTGAACAAGGCAAAACATTAAGAACTATCAAAGCCAAAAAGGCAAAACTGGCTGAGTCCTCTACAGACGCTCCCCAGCCTGCTCAGGAGTGTGAAGGGGCACACTGGTGAAAGGGCATTCCTGGGCACACTTGCTGTGTCCCCGGTGAAGGGCACAGCCGCAGCACACTGTGAGCTCTTTGAGGATTGGGGTTAGGAGTGCTTTCTCCCACCTGCTCCCTGGAACCTGCAAGCCTCTTGGTTCTGACTGTGGAGTTTAATATCCACTTGATTTCTCTGAATAAGGGAGCAAGGTCTTAGGCTGGCTCCAGAGGAAAGGCCATGACACTGTGTTTTAGCTTTTGACCTTAAAAGTGGATACCAGGGACCCAGCAAAGACATGGGAGTTGGTTCCCAGGGATAGGCAGAGGTCCTCCAGGGGCTGACGTGCTTGCTGCCATCTTTCCTATTAGCTTCAGTCTCACACCACCAGAGTGAGTGTGATAGTGGTGAACTCGCTGAAGTTACGGAGTTCTTTGTTTTGATGTAGGGTTTTTATTTATTTTTTTGATTGGAAAGAGGAGGCAGAAATTGGAGAAAAATGGGATCACCCCAGGATGGGGCCAGTGGCAAGAGTTGAGTTGACCCCACAGAGCACTGGGGCTCTCTGACCTGAGGTATGAACCCTGGCCCTTTAGACTGTGATACATAAAAGGCTCCCTCCTAAATTCTGTTAGGATTTTGGAGAATTTTTGCACAGTAGTAAGCTCTGGGTTGCTCTTTGGGCTTCTCAAAAGGGAAAAGTTCAATGTAAAAGATTGTAAGCTATTAAGTATTCCAGCCATGTGGCTACTAGTTGGATAGTTGTACCTCAAAAAGTAGGTGAGAAATGGCTTCCTCATTGTCCCAAGTGGTCAAATACTAATGACATAAGAGCTCACTTACGTGCCAAAATTCACTTTTATACTAGTTTTTCAATGCTTTACTATTTGTAACTTAAATTTTAAAACTCCTATTTACAAACACTACTGTAACTTCAGTGAAACTGAATTGTGTGAATGAAGCTTTTTGCTTATTATAGTATTTATTACACTACTTAATTCAGTAAATATATAAAAGTAGCCTTCAATTTATTTTTATATTATTTTACATGTTTTTACCTGCAGTTGTGTATGTGAATTTACCTTGGTAATTAAAATATAATGCTAAGGACCAATAAACTATCACTGAACAAGCAATGCCTCCATTCTTTCCTGTCCTGGAGACTGTCCCATGGTGTCTCTGGGATAAGGTTGAGAAGGGGAGCCCTTGGGGACCTTCCCTCAGCCTGGCTAGGGTGCCCTTTGCTAGGGCTGCCATGAGAGGAGCCCTTGGGGCTCTTGCTTCCCTCCCTAGTCCCCAGAGCATGTATAGAGAATAAAATTTGTTATGAAGAAACCAACCACCCTGGCTTGCAGAGTGCGCACTTGAAGAGCCCAGAGGTCCCCAAGAAAAACCCCCCACTTCACCTTCTGGGTTCCTCATCCTCATTTTTCCCCCTCCCCCTGCTTTTTTTTTTTTTTCCCAGTGTTGGTGACCTGTGGCCTCAAGCATGCTAAGCAAGAGTTCTACCACAAAGCTACATCCTTAACCCCTCATCTTGTCTCTGACCACCGTGGCTGGGCTGCAGTAAGAATCACACCTTTATAGGCTGATTGGCACCTTTCACCACGAGAACACTCCTTGAGGTGACCACCGAGTCCCACCTTATACATGGGAGCAACTTAGGCACCAGTGGACCCAGTAACTGGAGCAAGTGGCAGAACCAGTCCTTGGCCCCGTTAAATCTGAGAGAGCCTTTGCAGTGCTGGGATCTGGAGTGAGGCCTTGGAACTGTAAGTTCCAAAGGAGAAGTTGGCGGAAGCCCTCAGAGCTCTAGAGGAACAAATACAAATGCAGGAACTGTCCCATGCAGGTCTGGGTTCCGCTTGTCCGGTATCCACAGCAGGTGGCATGGGCCTCCTGTGCAGCTCATTTTACCCACTCCTCACTCTGAAAGGTTGAGAGACAGGCCCACTGACTGGGGAAAAGGGCTGATCAGGGAGGGGCACCTGCCCCAGGCAGCCTCATCCATAAAAACACCCCCTTCCTGTCACACCCACAGTGGCCTCAGGCAAGGGGAAGTGCCCCATGGGCAGCCTTGGGAGCTGGTCCAAAGGGGAGGGTGCAGCAAGTGCAGTCTTCCTGAGATGGGCATGATGGCCTAGGGTGTGGAAGTTCAATGAGTTACATAGGAACCAAGTGCAATACAGCAGTATCACCCTTCCCCAATCCCTGTCCCCTAAACCTCCTGCCTCCCTTCCTGCAGGCCATAGGCCCAAGTTCCTATGTTTGCCTTTCCACCAAACCTGCAGGCTCTGGGAAGTGACCCTCAAGGAATCACCAGGAGGGGGTGGGAGGGACAGTAATTGTGGAAGGACCTCCACAGCTGGGTGAGCTTTGAGGGCAGGGTGACCTGGAGGTCAAGAGACAGGGACAGGGAAGAAGGCCCGTCTCCCATCTGGATCCCTCTGTGGAGATGGGGACTACTGAGAGCTGCTTACCAGCAAAGAATCAGGGAATACTGATGGAAAGTGTGACTTAGAGCCAAGGGTTTCCTGTGGAGACACTGACAACCACAGGGGCTCTGAGGAGCATGAGAAACACTGATACACACTGATCTGTATCATGCAATGTAAGGGACTGTTGTACCCAAAGTCAACATAACCTACACCTCACTTCCAGCACATGACAGAAAGATAACAGGTTGGTTCAAATTGACGGGGTCCAGACTGGTACCAGGTTCAAGTTCAGCTGGGTGCAGGTGCTTAGATGGCATGAGGGCCCTCACTCCATCCTAGTGGCCTCACTTTCTCCTATAAGTAAGCTTCCTTTATGCTACCAGAAGCCCAGCAATCCAAGAGCAAGACTCTATAGGCATCCCCAAAGTCTGGGGTCCTATTTCCATCAATGAAGTAGTCACAATGGTTGGGAAAATGGAATATTCTTTGTAGCACTGGGGTTTGAATTCAGGGCTTCCTGCTTGCTAAGCAGGTGCTCTTACCACTTGAGCCACTCCACCAGCCCTGTTTTGTGATGGGTTTTTTGAGACAGGATGAATAGCTCAAGCTGGCTTCAAACTGAGATGCTTCTGATCTCTGCCTCCTAAGTAGCTAGGATTACAGGTGTGAGCCCAAAGAAGGGCTTGCTCCCTGGAGCTGCATTGCATATCCCCTGGCAGGCCACTTCTGAGCTTTTCTGTTCATATACCCACTTGGTTTTATAAATGTTGCTTTCTGCTAGTCTTTTCTAGTACAACTAATAGGAAGCATAGCTTTTTTTCTTGTGTTAGTAATGATGGTGCTGGTGATTTTTAACCGAGAAAACAAGTTGAAAACACTGTCCCCTAAAATAATCCATCACCAGCACCACCACCACCCCGCAAATTGAGAATAGGTTGTGTAGTTCCTCAGTGTACCCTGGGGCACCAGTGTCCCATAAGAGTCTGTTTGAGAATCTTTTTGGTTGGGTGAATGAGTTTGTTGTTTTGTGGTACTGGAGTTTGAATTCAGTGCCTCCAGCTTGCTAGGCAAGTAACTCAACCCTTGAGCCATGCCACTTTTTTTTTTTTTTCCTTTTTTTTCCTTAAGTAAAAGAAAAGTCTTGGGCTGAGGATGTAGCTCAGTAGTACCAAAAAAAAAAAAAAAAAAAAAAAAGTCATATAGACCATGATGTAGGGGATGGGCTGCTGCTCCATGTTGGTAGAGATTAGAAGTGGACCAGAGAGCCATCTTGAAGGAACCATTGACATGACAAAATGACTAGGCAAGACAAGAGAAAGCAGATGACATGGAGATAAAGTGGAAAAAGCCAAAGTGGATAAAACCTAATGTTTTGAAACAATTCCACAAAACTTTTGTTTCATTCTCTAAAAAATGGAAGGAAAGTAAATTTGTTTACTCACAAATTATTCCTTTTTCCCCAGGCCTCTGCACTGCTAAATTGATCAGCCAAAAAAATGATTGGACTGGTAGAGTGGCTCAAGCAGTAAGAGTACATGTCTAGCATGCATGAAGCCCTTAGTTCATCATAATAATAATAATTGTATGAGGGTCAAAACTTTTATGTCTAGCAAGATAGCCGTGGTTCACGCTTACAATCTTACCTACTTGGGAGGCTGAGATCAGGATCCAGGTTCAATGCCAGCTCAGGCAAATAGTTCGTGAGACCCCATATCCAAAATAATCAGAGCAAAAATGAACTGGAAGTGTGGCAGTAGAGTGTCTTCTTTGCCAAGCATGAAGCCCTGAGTTCAAACCCCAGTCCTGCCAAAAGAAAAAAAAAACCTAACCAAATAAGTGTGAATACGTCAATTCTTATCCTACAATTACTACTGCTTTTTCTGTGCGAAAAAAAAAGTTTAATCTTTTTTTTCCCCTTCCATCATTTCACATTTTGAGAAAACTTTTACATCTTCAAAATTTCATGTCTGGATAAATGTACGAATAATAGAGAAAAAAGGATATCAGGAAAAGGAAAGATGGCTGGATAAGGAAAGTTGTTTCAGTTTGAGACTGAAACTTCATGGAATTTTCTAGCTAAAAAAGACTCCATGTTTCAGGGCTGCAGGTTGCTCTCGACCTTCCCATGGCCTCTCCCT